TAAAGGCTCTCTGGTTGCCAAGGTGATAGCCTTAGACACAGACTCGGTGCACAACTCTCGGATTACCTACCAGTTTCTACAGGTGACTGACGCCACCTTGTTCAGTCTGGACCAGTACAACGGAGAGATCCGGACTATGAGGATGTTCAGCTACAGAGATCCGCGCCACCAGAGACTGGTTGTTATTGCTAAAGACAACGGGGAGCCCGCTCTGTCTGCTACAGTCACCATCAAGCTGTCCACAATGGAGACTGCAGTTAAGGCCTTCTCTGACATGACTGAGGTACCTCTGGAGTACGACATCTTCTCAGACCTGAACCTGTATTTGGTCATCGGTCTGGGCTCAGTGTCGTTTCTCCTGCTCATCACCATATTGGTCACCATCGTGCTCAAGTGTCAGAAAGTCAAGCCCAGCAAAGCTGCTGCTCCCTGCAGGAACAGTGTGATCAGTGAGAGGAACTCCACCATCGCAGACTCCACTCTGGTCTCCAACGATGCTTACTGGTACAGTCTGTTTCTAGCAGAGACCAGGAAAGGAAAGCTGGTGGTCAGACAGCCTGTGCCAAAGGGCTCCAGATACATCGTGTCCAGTTTACCAAGAGGAACAGGACTGACAGACACGAGTGATTCAGCAGCCTCCACTCTGCAGGTATGGGAAAAACTATCTAATAAACGTTCTTCACATGGTCCCACGGGATGACAGATCAAGTCCACTCATGAATGACTTTAGCCTTGAAAATATTTACACATGAGAAAGTAATAGTTTGATTTCTTCTCTGCACTTCTTACGCATAGATATCGACCACTTAACATAAAATAAAATCCTGTATTAAAAATAAAATTCTGAAAATCCAAATATGAATTAATGTCCTAAAACAAGGTGGTAGCTTGATACTTATTGAATTTCACAGAAATTAAAAAAAGAGAATACGTTTTAATTTTACAAAAAGAAAAATCAATATGCTTTACTTTCGTAAAAAATATATTTTTTAAATCAAGGGTGGATTTTTTTTGTGGACAATCTTTTTTCAAATAGGCCTAATGCATTTTGCTCGATGTTGGGGAAAATGTTACCATTTACGCAGTATCGTTCTATAGCTAAAACCGATCAAATACGAAGGATAATTCAGATGTTGTCGTTTGGCACTGCTTTTACGCACAGACGTCTGTGCGTAAAAATCGCCAATCACAAATAAAGGCGTATTTATAAAAAAAATCATTGCATTCAAAATACACGCCAAACCTTGTTAAATAAAAATGTAAATAAAAAATAAGCTGAATAATTTAGAAAAACAAAACCCATTAGATTTTCTGAATTGCATGAGCTTATAGCGCATGGAAATTCAGAAATCAAATTGAAACTACGGCAAAAAAATTTACATAGGGTGATTACACTCTGCATGAGTTATGATGAGTTATTTTTGTTTTCAAACGTTGCAAAGCCCAACACTAGACATTGTCGTCGCTGCTCTCCAAGAAAACACACTCATCGATGAGGTCATCGCAATCACTATAGTTCATTGGTGGAAGAGAATTTCGACATGTTTATTACAACGACGTCACCCTGGATCTTAGCGTGAACATCGTCTTCTTTTCAGATCTGCTTTTCGTTCGTCCATTCAACAAGAGGACGTTTTATACGTTTCAACACCTCTGCGGATTTGGATACTGTAATTTCACGATGCTTCGCAACACTCGATTGATGTTTGGGACAAGGTGCGTTTCACTATTGATCTTTCTGTCAGCGATCATGGACATTGTATACACCGTCACCATTATTCTGTTCCCGAGGAAATGGAAGAAGGCTCTGTTGTTGCTAATTTAGCAACTGACCTGGGACTAGACGTGAAGACACTAAAGGGAAGGAAAATGCGCATTGACGTTATAGGTAACAAAAAATACCTCGACATCAACAAAGACACAGGAGAGCTGTTTATTTTAGAAAGAATAGACCGAGAGTTTTTGTGTGCACTGAAGACGTGCTTTTTAAGATTGGACGCTACCATTGAAAACCCAATTCGAATGTTTAACATAGAGGTAGAAATCACGGATATTAATGATAACGCTCCTCATTTTAGAAGAGGAACGATGCATCTGGACATTTCTGAGTCAAGCCCTGTTGGTGAGAGATTCTCACTGAATAATGCTGCGGACCCGGATGTTGGAACGAATTCTGTAAAAAACTACCACCTGAGCGCGAGTGAACATTTCTCCATTGAGATTCAGACTGGACGAGACGGGACAAAGTTTGCAGATCTGATTCTGAAAAAAGCTTTAGATAGAGAGCAGCAGGCTGTTCATAATCTAATGCTCGCTGCTGTGGACGGTGGAGTCCCCACGCGCACAGGTACAGCCAGCATCATTGTTCGCGTGCTCGATGTGAACGACAACGCCCCTTCATTTGACAAAGACAAATATGTAGTAGAAGTGATGGAAAACTCCCCAATTGGCAGTCTAGTTATGAAAGTAAACGCAACTGATTTAGATGAGGGTTCTAACTCTGATATAATGTATTCATACAGTTTGTATACATCAGAGAGAACACAGCAGGTGTTTAACCTGAATTCAGAAAATGGTGAAATCAGAGTGAAAGAGATGATAAATTATGAAGACTTTAAAATTTATGAAATGGAGGTTATTGCCAGTGACAAGGGGCCTAACTCATTATCTGGACAGTGTAAACTGACAATACAGGTGACAGATATGAATGACAACCATCCAGAAATATCCATCAAATCATTTCAGAGTCCGATCAAAGAAAATGAACCAATAGACACAGTGATAGCTGTAGTTAGTGTCAGTGATAAAGACTCAGGTGACAATGGGGTGGTTGATCTTCACATTCCTGATAATATGCCTTTCAAACTGAGGGAGTCCTCTGATAACTATTATGAGTTAGTGGTGTCAGAGCCGTTAGACCGTGAGAAGGTCCCAGAATATGACATCACTTTCACTGTGACAGACAGAGGTTCTCCTCCTTTATCTGACAATGAAACTATGACGTTAGAGCTGCTGGATGTCAATGACAATGTGCCTCAGTTCTCTCAGTCATTTTACACGATACGTGTGATGGAGAATAACGCACCTGGGGCCCTGCTCAGCTCCCTCACTGCCTTTGACCCTGACCTCCATGAAAACCAGTATCTAGTTTATTTCATCCTCGAGAAGGAGATAGCCAACACCTCCATGTCCATGCTGTTCTCCATCAACCCAGAGAACGGCAATCTTTACGCACTGAAAACTTTTGACTATGAGATCGAGAAGGATTTTCTTTTCCACATCGAGGCCAGAGACTCTGGTTCTCCTCCACTCAGCAGTAACGTCACGGTCCACATCATCATTGTGGACCAGAACGACAACGCTCCGGTCATTGTGTCTCCGTGGCGAGCGCACGGCTCGGTGGTGGAGGAAAAGATCCCCAGGTCCACCGAAAAAGGCTCTCTGGTTGCCAAGGTGATAGCCTTAGACACAGACTCGGTGCACAACTCTCGGATTACCTACCAGTTTCTACAGGTGACTGACGCCACCTTGTTCAGTCTGGACCAGTACAACGGAGAGATCCGGACTATGAGGATGTTCAGCTACAGAGATCCGCGCCACCAGAGACTGGTTGTTATTGCTAAAGACAACGGGGAGCCCGCTCTGTCTGCTACAGTCACCATCAAGCTGTCCACAATGGAGACTGCAGTTAAGGCCTTCTCTGACATGACTGAGGTTCCTCTGGAGTACGACATCTTCTCAGACCTGAACCTGTATTTGGTCATCGGTCTCGGCTCAGTGTCGTTTCTCCTGCTCATCACCATATTGGTCACCATCGTGCTCAAGTGTCAGAAAGTCAAGCCCAGCAAAGCTGCTGCTCCCTGCAGGAACAGTGTGATCAGTGAGAGGAACTCCACCATTGCAGACTCCACTCTGGTCTCCAACGATGCTTACTGGTACAGTCTGTTTCTAGCAGAGACCAGGAAAGGAAAGCTGGTGGTCAGACAGCCTGTGCCAAAGGGCTCTAGATACATTGTGTCCAGTTTACCAAGAGGAACAGGACTGACAGACACGAGTGATTCAGCAGCCTCTACCCTACAGGTATGGGAAAAGTATCTATTAAACATTATAGGATCACTCAAGATGAACCATCAAGTCCATTCAGGAAATACTATAGTCATGAAAAAATGTTCACATGAGAAAGTGAACAATTTACTCTCCTCTGCACTTCTTACGCATGCTGTAGTTATTAAACGCTTAACGCTAAATCCACAAATTAAAGTCAAATACTGACAACACACATATGGATACAAGTTCTAAAACTAGGTGGTAGGTTGATTCTCATTGGATTTCAGAGTGTTGTACATACAACACGTGTGTTATACATATAAATAATCAATATGCTTTACTTCTGTCAAAATATTTCTTAATTAATCCAGAGTGGAGTTTTCTAAGGACAATCTTTATTCAAATAGGTCTAATGCATTTTGCTCCACGTGGTACATACGGATATTACGAAGTGACGTTCTACAACCATAACTGTTCAAACACCAAGAATACTTGAGCTGCTGTTGCGTTTGGCACTGCTTTTACGCACATATACCGTGCGTAAAAGTTGACAAACACAAAGGAAGGAGTTGAAATTCGGAAATACTTCAAATATTTTCAATATCTGTGTAAAAGTGGCACTAGTTATCATAACGTTACGAAAAAACGCTAATACATACTGAAATATCAAAATTAGGCAATTGTTATTAACATTTTTAGCAGCCAAACAGAATAAGAGTTCCAAATCCAACTTGAATACAGAAGCAAAACTTATTCCCAGCTCTTTGCGATTGTTATAAAGAGTGCTTTCACTGCGTAGTTTTATTATGTTATTTTTTTTAATCTGCATGTAAAGCCTGGCACTGGACTGTTCTCGTCGCTCCTCTCCAAGAAAACACACTTACTGATGATGTCATTGCTCTTGCAGTATTCCATTGGTGGTAAGGGAGGCGGACATGCTTATCACACAGACGTCACGCTTGGTCTTTGCTTGAAACCCCGTTTTCTTTTCGGATCCGCGTTTCTTTCGTCCATTTAACAGGAGGTCGTTTTTACATTTCAGCAGCTCCAAGGATTTGGATACCGTAACGACAAAATGCTGCGCCACACTCGAATGCCGTTTGGGAGAAGGTGCGTGTCGTTATTGATCTTTCTGTCAGCGATCATAAACGTTGTATATACCGTCACTCACTATTCTGTCCCCGAAGAAATGGAGGAAGGCTCTGTTGTTGCTAATTTAGCAACTGACCTGGGACTAGACGTGAAGACACTAAAGGGAAGGAAAATGCGCATTGACGTTGTGGGTAACAAGAAATACCTTGACATCAACAAAGACACAGGAGAGCTGTTTATTTCAGAAAGGATTGACCGAGAGTTTTTATGTCCATCAAAGACAACTACAAACTGCTTTGTGAGATTGGACGCTACCATTGAAAACCCAATTCGAATGTTTAACATAGAGGTAGAAATCACGGATATTAATGATAACGCTCCTCATTTTAGAAGAGGAACGATGCATCTGGACATTTCTGAGTCAAGCCCTGTTGGTGAAAGATTCTCACTGAATAATGCTGCGGACCCGGATGTCGGAACGAATTCTGTGAAAAACTACCACCTGAGCGCGAGTGAACATTTCTCCATTGAGATTCAGACTGGACGCGACGGGACGAAGTTTGCAGATCTGATTCTGAAAAAAGCTTTAGATAGAGAGCAGCAGGCTGTTCATAATCTAATGCTCACTGCTGTGGACGGTGGAGTCCCCACGCGCACAGGTACAGCCAGCATCATTGTTCGCGTGCTCGATGTGAACGACAACGCCCCTTCATTCGAGAAAGACAAATATGTAGTAGAAGTGATGGAAAACTCCCCAATTGGCAGTCTAGTTATGAAAGTAAACGCAACTGATTTAGATGAGGGTTCTAACTCTGATATAATGTATTCATACAGTTTGTATACATCAGAGAGAACACAGCAGGTGTTTAACCTGAATTCAGAAAATGGTGAAATCAGAGTGAAAGAGATGATAAATTATGAAGACTTTAGAGTTTATGAAATGGAGGTTATTGCCAGTGACAAGGGGCCTAACTCATTATCTGGACAGTGTAAACTGACAATACAGGTGACAGATATGAATGATAACCATCCAGAAATATCCATCAAATCATTTCAGAGTCCGATCAAAGAAAATGAACCAATAGACACAGTGATAGCTGTAGTTAGTGTCAGTGATAAAGACTCAGGTGACAATGGGGTGGTTGATCTTCACATTCCTGATAATATGCCTTTTAAACTGAGGGAGTCCTCTGATAACTATTATGAGTTAGTGGTGTCAGAGCCGTTAGACCGTGAGAAGGTCCCAGAATATGACATCACTTTCACTGTGACAGACAGAGGTTCTCCTCCTTTATCTGACAATGAAACTATGACGTTAGAGCTGCTGGATGTCAATGACAATGTGCCTCAGTTCTCTCAGTCATTTTACACGATACGTGTGATGGAGAATAACGCACCTGGGGCCCTGCTCAGCTCCCTCACTGCCTTTGACCCTGACCTCCATGAAAACCAGTATCTAGTTTATTTCATCCTCGAGAAGGAGATAGCCAACACCTCCATGTCCATGCTGTTCTCCATCAACCCAGAGAACGGCAATCTTTACGCACTGAAAACTTTTGACTATGAGATCGAGAAGGACTTTCTTTTCCACATCGAGGCCAGAGACTCTGGCTCTCCTCCACTCAGCAGTAACGTCACGGTCCACATCATCATTGTGGACCAGAACGACAACGCTCCGGTCATTGTGTCTCCGTGGCGAGCGCACGGCTCGGTGGTGGAGGAAAAGATCCCCAGGTCCACCGATAAAGGCTCTCTGGTTGCCAAGGTGATAGCCTTAGACACAGACTCGGTGCACAACTCTCGGATTACCTACCAGTTTCTACAGGTGACTGACGCCACCTTGTTCAGTCTGGACCAGTACAACGGAGAGATCCGGACGATGAGGATGTTCAGCTACAGAGATCCGCGCCACCAGAGACTGGTTGTTATTGCTAAAGACAACGGGGAGCCCGCTCTGTCTGCTACAGTCACCATCAAGCTGTCCACAATGGAGACTGCAGTTAAGGCCTTCTCTGACATGACTGAGGTACCTCTGGAGTACGACATCTTCTCAGACCTGAACCTGTATTTGGTCATCGGTCTGGGCTCAGTGTCGTTTCTCCTGCTCATCACCATATTGGTCACCATCGTGCTCAAGTGTCAGAAAGTCAAGCCCAGCAAAGCTGCTGCTCCCTGCAGGAACAGTGTGATCAGTGAGAGGAACTCCACCATCGCAGACTCCACTCTGGTCTCCAACGATGCTTACTGGTACAGTCTGTTTCTAGCAGAGACCAGGAAAGGAAAGCTGGTGGTCAGACAGCCTGTGCCAAAGGGCTCCAGATACATCGTGTCTAGTTTACCAAGAGGAACAGGACTGACAGACACGAGTGACTCAGCAGCCTCCACTCTGCAGGTATGGGAAAAAGTATCTATTAAACATTCGACACATGGTTTCCCAAGATGACCCATCAAGTCCACCTATGAATGACTATAGTCATGAACATATTTTCAAGTGAGAAAAAGACGAATTTGATCTCTCCTCTGCAGTTTTTTATGCATAATTATCAATCGTTTAACATAAAGCAAAATCCACAATTAAGGAAAAATTACAATATGCTTATGAATAAATGTCCTAAAACGAGGTTGTAACTTGATTACTATTACATTTCACAGATTGTTGTTAAATATAAGACGTTTTTTTATACACATAAATAATCAATATGCTTTACTTTTGTCAAAATATTTCTTATTAAATCCAGAGTGGAGTTGTCTATGGACAATCTTTATTCAAATAGGTGTAATGCATTTTGCTCAACGTGGTACATCAGGATATTACGAAGTGACGTTCTTTAACCATAACTGATCAAACAGCAAGAATACTTGAGATGCTGTCCCGTTTGGCACTGCTTTTACGCACAAAGACTGTGCGTAAAAGTCGCCAAGGAAGGAGTTGAAATCCGGAAATACTCTTGAGTATTTTAAACATCTGTGTAAAAGTGTCACTAGCTATCATAAGGTTATGAATAAATGCTAATACACAATGAAATATAAAAAATACGCATTTTTTCAAAACATTTTTAGCAGCCAAAGAGAATAAGAGTTCCAAAATCCAACTTGAAAACATCAGCAAACTTTTTCTTAGCTGTTTTCGATTGTCATAAAGAAGTGATTTTACTGCGTAATTTCCTTATATCATTTTTTAATCTGTAAAACTGCAAAGCCTGGCACTGGACTGTTCTCGTCGCTCCTCTCCAAGAAAACACACTTCTTGATGATGTCATCTTTCTCGCAGTATTTCATTGGTGGTTGGGGAGGCGGACATGTTTACGCCATATACGTCAGCTTGGTTTTTGCTTGAAACCCCGTTTTCTTTTCGCATCCGCGTTTCTTTCGTCCATGTAACAGGAGGTCGTTTTTACATTTCAGCAGCTCCAAGGATTTGGATACCGTAACTACAAAATGCTGCGCCACACTCGAATGCCGTTTGGGAGAAGGTGCGTGTCGTTATTGATCTTTCTGTCAGCGATCATAAACGTTGTATACACCGTCACTCACTATTCTGTTCCCGAAGAAATGGAAGAAGGCTCTGTTGTTGCTAATTTAGCAACTGACCTGGGACTAGACGTGAAGACACTAAAGGGAAGGAAAATGCGCATTGACGTTGTAGGTAACAAGAAATACCTTGACATCAACAAAGACACAGGAGAGCTGTTTATTTTAGAAAGAATAGACCGAGAGTTTTTATGCCCTTTGAAGACAACATCGTGCTTTTTAAGATTGGACGCTACCATTGAGAATCCAATTCGAATGTTTAATATAGAGGTAGAAATCACGGATATTAATGATAACGCTCCTCATTTTAGAAGAGGAACGATGCATCTGGACATTTCTGAGTCAAGCCCTGTTGGTGAGAGATTCTCACTGAATAATGCTGCGGACCCGGATGTTGGAACAAATTCTGTAAAAAACTACCACCTGAGCGCGAGTGAACATTTTCCATTGAGATTCAGACTGGACGCGACGGGACAAAGTTTGCAGATCTGATTCTGAAAAAAGCTTTAGATAGAGAGCAGCAGGCTGTTCATAATCTAATACTCGCTGCAGTGGACGGTGGAGTCCCCACGCGCACAGGTACAGCCAGCATAATTGTTCGCGTGCTCGATGTGAACGACAACGCCCCTTCATTTGACAAAGACAAATATGTAGTAGAAGTGATGGAAAACTCCCCAATTGGCAGTCTAGTTATGAAAGTAAACGCAACTGATTTAGATGAGGGTTCTAACTCTGATATAATGTATTCATACAGTTTGTATACATCAGAGAGAACACAGCAGGTGTTTAACCTGAATTCAGAAAATGGTGAAATCAGAGTGAAAGAGATGATAAATTATGAAGACTTTAGAGTTTATGAAATGGAGGTTATTGCCAGTGACAAGGGGCCTAACTCATTATCTGGACAGTGTAAACTGACAATACAGGTGACAGATATGAATGATAACCATCCAGAAATATCCATCAAATCATTTCAGAGTCCGATCAAAGAAAATGAACCAATAGACACAGTGATAGCTGTAGTTAGTGTCAGTGATAAAGACTCAGGTGACAATGGGGTGGTTGATCTTCACATTCCTGACAATATGCCTTTCAAACTGAGGGAGTCCTCTGATAACTATTATGAGTTAGTGGTGTCAGAGCCGTTAGACCGTGAGAAGGTCCCAGAATATGACATCACTTTCACTGTGACAGACAGAGGTTCTCCTCCTTTATCTGACAATGAAACTATGACGTTAGAGCTGCTGGATGTTAATGACAATGTACCTCAGTTCTCTCAGTCATTTTACACGATACGTGTGATGGAGAATAACGCACCTGGGGCCCTGCTCAGCTCCCTCACTGCCTTTGACCCTGACCTCCATGAAAACCAGTATCTAGTTTATTTCATCCTCGAGAAGGAGATAGCCAACACCTCCATGTCCATGCTGTTCTCCATCAACCCAGAGAACGGCAATCTTTACGCACTGAAAACTTTTGACTATGAGATCGAGAAGGACTTTCTTTTCCACATCGAGGCCAGAGACTCTGGCTCTCCTCCACTCAGCAGTAACGTCACGGTCCACATCATCATTGTGGACCAGAACGACAACGCTCCGGTCATTGTGTCTCCGTGGCGAGCGCACGGCTCGGTGGTGGAGGAAAAGATCCCCAGGTCCACCGATAAAGGCTCTCTGGTTGCCAAGGTGATAGCCTTAGACACAGACTCGGTGCACAACTCTCGGATTACCTACCAGTTTCTACAGGTGACTGACGCCACCTTGTTCAGTCTGGACCAGTACAACGGAGAGATCCGGACTATGAGGATGTTCAGCTACAGAGATCCGCGCCACCAGAGACTGGTTGTTATTGCTAAAGACAACGGGGAGCCCGCTCTGTCTGCTACAGTCACCATCAAGCTGTCCACAATGGAGACTGCAGTTAAGGCCTTCTCTGACATGACTGAGGTACCTCTGGAGTACGACATCTTCTCAGACCTGAACCTGTATTTGGTCATCGGTCTGGGCTCAGTGTCATTTCTCCTGCTCATCACCATATTGGTCACCATCGTGCTCAAGTGTCAGAAAGTCAAGCCCAGCAAAGCTGCTGCTCCCTGCAGGAACAGTGTGATCAGTGAGAGGAACTCCACCATTGCAGACTCCACTCTGGTCTCCAACGATGCTTACTGGTACAGTCTGTTTCTAGCAGAGACCAGGAAAGGAAAGCTGGTGGTCAGACAGCCTGTGCCAAAGGGCTCCAGATACATCGTGTCCAGTTTACCAAGAGGAACAGGACTGACAGACACTAGTGACTCAGCAGCCTCTACCCTACAGGTACAAATGAACACTTGCTTCACTGCAGTTTAAATATACTATAGTTCAATCCTTTGTGTTGTTAAAGCTAGTATTTGTATCTTTTTAAAACAGCTCAAACTAATTTTTTTCATTACTTGCGTATTGGCAATTTTGCAGCTCATACATTACCGGGTAAGTAATACATTCATAAACACAAATAGATGAATAACTATAATCTGCGTTGCGGTTGTTTGATCACCATCAAATATCCTAACAACACAAATCCCCCCCCTCCCCCAATTTTAAAACATACACACTAAGAATTGTTCAAATGTTTGTATTTTTACTCAACACGTGTCTAATTATATAAAATTCAGAGAACAATTTAGAGAACAATCAACCTTAACAGCATTGGAGCCCTTTAATTTTTGATCGAATAAAAAAAAAAAAAACGTTAAAAAAAAGGATCAGACTTATGTAAATGTCAACAAAACAGCACCCACCTAAAAAAAAAAACTCATGCTTTCTAAAATATCTTGCAGCATTGGTATTTTAGTCTTTCTGGAGGGTGGGGTCGGGGTGAGAGCAGCACTTGTTAACTTCTTTAAAACTGTAACTGCCTCAGAAACATTTCTTTGATGTCAGTTTGTTGCCTATTTACCAGTGGAAATGATTGTGTCTTCACTCTTATCATCGCAATTGAAAACATAATCAATTCCAAAACAGAACAGGAACACAAATAAAAAGAGATAATATTTTCGTGACTGGTTATCGGATATATTTCTTGCCATGCATGATCTACTGTGTGTCTTCCAAAACACATGCTCATCTTGAATTGTTAGAATGATTCTCTTATCCATAACATCATTTTTCAGCACATAAGACCTCTGCTGGGTGGTGGTTCCATCACTGTCAATTGCTTACAGATGGAGCATGCTGCAGTCTGCAGAGATGCAGAGTCATGAGATGGGACTTCTCTGTGCTCTGTATCAATCTCTCTTATCTCTCTCTCAGTCTCTCTATTTATCATGCTCTTGGTGCAAGACAAATTCCCCTTGGGGCAATAAAAGGTTTCATTCATCCATTCTATCTATCTATCTATCTATCTATCTATCTATCTGATGGTAAGTATGCTGCTTGATGAACAAGCACAGAGCTAAATGCTAAATTGTGTGTAACCCCTTATATCCATAGAACAGATTTAACAAGCTGCAGTATCTGTTATGAAGGTTCACGCCGACCATGTTTAGTTTGTTTTATTTTTCAAAGATAACATTGTATTCATAGTTCCACTGCTCGGTGATCATAGGATGCATACAAAATAACGTTTTTTCTTATTCTTGCAATGAACTGACCATTAATTTGCTTGTTTTTTTTCTCCCCACTCTAAAGTACCCTAAATGAGGGAAGTCCACACTGCAGCTGGAGGTATGCAGGAGTCTCACTCCCCCACCCCGGAAACCCTGTAATGAATGATGTTAGAGAATTTAGTGTCTGATTTGTTTTCTGTGTTTGCTTTGGTTTTCAGTGGATTATTTTGTTTCATTTTTCTGGGGAAGGAGATTTTTTTAATTGCTAAAACGTCACTCAACTGACATAATATGCAGTTCACCAAATCTCCCGTTTGAACATCTTAATTTCTTAATTCTGGTAACTATAACTCGGATAACAGTCTCCCCTTTAAATCCCAAAACAATGAGTCTATGCAACATAACTACCACAGCGAATAATAATACCAATTTCTGTGTTTAAGGATTCATTATTATGATTGAATTCAGGAGACACATTACAATACTGACAACATTATAATTCTAATGGTCAATATTCTGATTCTGATGATTCATAGACCATTTTGCAGACAAGTGAAAGTGGGGATCCAGGTGAAGCAGTATTAACACAGTAATCATTACTTTTGGTGAACAAAGTGAGAATTAAGTACAGCCAGCCCCTGAGCCAAACACATGTATCCTATTGAATAATAAGTTAATCATCTTTCAATGTGAAATAACAACATCAACATGCTGTTTGTCCTGAAGGTCATTGATCACAGTTCAATGTAATCCTTCATTTTAATTATTTGGGCATTTACTGGCTTTGCTTTGTTCAGAATCTGGCTTTTGCTGTTATTACACAAGTCAAGAAGTTCATGTTTTAATAGAATCACACTGTTCTCAAAGTGATCCTGTGCATGTGAAGGTTAATTCATGCTCATTCCTGACTGACCCATCAGTAAAAGATGAGAGAGGGTATGTTATTTTTCAATGTTAATAAGTGGGTAGTGCTGTTTCTGTCTAATTTGGTTGACGAAATGTAATTTAACTGAGTGTTACTGACTTCACAGGACGTCACTTTTGAATTTCCTGTCTGCTGTAGTGTGACCTACTTCTTCATGCAGGAGAGGCGCAATGTGAAACCAGACACCCAGTTACCTAGCAACCACTCTCCTCTCCGCATAATCTAGGAGCATGGTATTCATTGATAAACCCTCAACCTCACCACACATGTTCAAGGATCTTCCCAACCCCTCCACCCTCTCTGTCTCCTGCCTGAAGCCCCTTTCTGAGTGACAGACAACGGCTGCATGAGATACTATGTCAGTTTGAAAGTCACAAGGCTGTCATTGCTGTGGTTCTTTACTTGATATATTTTTTTATTCTTTTGTCTCGTTTGCAGGAATCCACTACCAGCAGCAGCAGCTCCACATAGAAGAGCCACACCTCCGACTGCGTACTGCACTGACGCTGATGAGAAAGCTTCACCGAGGAAAAGAGAAGCCCCTGCTCATAACCCACCCATGTCTGTCCTGCTAACTCTGGTCCTTGTTTCTAACAATGTGCAGTTGTCATGCTATAATGCCAAATTGGACTACGGTAGCTAATCAAGGACACCACCCTGCCCCCCTCCTCCCTCCCTTCTTCAAGCACATGAAAAGCCAATCAACAATGCCTCTCTGTCCATTCAATATGCATGAAAAGACTGCATGGCTTCAACCACACTCCACCTTCACGTAAATACATTTCAACAACAGACGCAAAGAAGCAGATTGTACAAAAAAAAGTACCAGTGGATTTTCAAAGAAGCCTCAGCCAGACTATGAGAATGGACACGGGAATGTTGAAATGCCTTTAAGAGACTGTTTTTCCTCTCTAAAAATGAAACACATGTTGTATATTACATTTTTAACCTCTGTGCTTTGTGTTACCATGTAAGCTTTGATGTATACAAGTTAGCTAAGAAGTTAAACAGCACAATTAACTATATGTCAAAAAAGCACCATGCAATGTTTTCAAGGATCAAGCAAATGGAAGCAGTATTTTCTAAATAAGGTATCTGTTGGTAGTTTTATGTTTTATACTTGACTTTGCGCATTTTATTGTGAGCCAGTCCTGACTTTATGAGTGGGAGTGATAAAATATTACTTCAAGCTGATCAGTACAAAAAACAGATAATTTGAGGCCTTTTGCTGATGCGTATCTGCCTTTCAGTTGTTTTTGCATGGATCAATCAAGAACTTGAATAGCTTTAGATGTTTTATTGTACTGAGCGATCCATTCCAACGACCACATGGAAGCTTACATTTCATTGGGACCACAATGTACATATAGCAGCATTATTCTGAAGTCCTAATCATAAATCAGCAGAGAGGGTCAGCACATCTGTCGTGTCATACCTTTTTCATAGTTTCAAGGCAAAAGCAGCAGAGGGACTTGTATGTTGTCTTTCAGAAAGTTAGTTGGTTCAAATTCAAGTGTACAGTTTGCTTGAATGTTAAGCTCACTGGAATATTATTTTGAGAATACGAGTCATGGGGATTAAACTAAACTCAAGTGAACACAGAGTCTTTGAGAAAAGTTTGTTAATATCTCTTTATGACTACTGTATATACGTTAACATAACTGTGATTTAATTTTTGTTCATCTTTAAAGCCAAATTCTTGATGTTCCTTAATTTGATAATTTTCTAAGATTATGTAAGAAGTTATAAACCGTAAACTCAGAATCAAAATGAGGTCTTAATGTTTGCTCTACAGTTCACCAAATGAAAGCTGTGCTTGTGTGAATTTCTGACTGCTGTATGTATCTGCTTATGCAGCACATAATTAGGTATACGGAGCTAAGCGTCATATAGTTATCTACCATATGTGTGTATTATTGAACATGCCTTTCTTTCAATGCTAATGCTGAATATGTGAAAGTGAACAATGGTGTAACTCCTGTGCCATCTGATTTACGAGCCAACTTTCTGTGAAACCTTAAATAGTTAGACATTACGTTGTCAAACTCTTGCACATTGCATTATTATTACGTATTATGACTTACAGGCAAAACATATACAGTCAGTGTTTTTGTACAGTGATCATTTAGTGTGCAATATGTGGTGACTTGTGTAGTGTGAGCTAACTGTATGAGATGGTCTGGTGGTCTGTATGATCTATTAAATACAAGAGTGAAATAGAACACCTGACTGAATGCTGTGCTTCTATACCTTTATGTTTTGTATTACAGGTTTAACAATTATTTTTATCAGGAGTGATTTAAAAAAAAAAAAAAGATTTAGTTTTATGGTTTGGTTAAAAAAAGCAAATTGACCTCCAGGTACTCTTCTCTCATGTCTTATATCTCATAGATATAATCAAGGGTCAAGTCAAAGTACACGTGTGATGACAATCATTTTAATATTACCAACCTTTAATGCTTGTAAACTTACATGCATAGATTGCACTCTCTGTCAGTTTAAAAGACATTTGGTTCCTTCCCAAAAGTTATCTCAGGCGTCTCTGGCCTTTGAACAGAATTTCAATGATTTAGTAAGTTCATGGAAAAGTCACATGCTTTATTAAATATATTAGAGTAAAGTCTGTGGAAATGATCATGTTTGAGATTTGTTGTGTGAACCTTAGAGTCGTGCTTCAAACAGACATGACGACATGTTTCTTAAAATGCCAAAATATTACCATTGTTCTCCATACTGAAGGAGGGAGGCTGCTGTATCTGTACGTAGATGCATACTTGTCAGTATGTTTGACATTTAAATAATTTTTCTTTCAAGGTTTTGGTCTAAGATGTCATAAAATGTTTAACTATATTATTTACCCGTATACAGCAAACTTTAAACTAAAATGTTAAGTGAGTTGTCAAGAGGAAATGCAGGATATTTTTGGGTCTCTAGTGACATACCCTCATGATCACTGGGAACAGCTTTAGACTGTCTGAAAAGAATAAAATAACACTGACGTGTACATGTTCAAACTGGAGTTGATGACAGGAAAATAAATTGTGCTTTGTTACCTTCAGTTTATGTAATTTATTTTAAACTGAAGTTAATTGTTTCTGACAAGCCGCTTTAATCAACAAAATGACAGGAGGCTTGACTGCCCAAAATGCTAAACTGAATTGTTCTTCCACGCGAAAGCAAATGTACCTGTGTGTGTGTTTCTTACAAAGACCGTCTACAGCCACACTGCTACAAGAACACAAGTAGACACTCCGGATGTTTCCTTTGCTGTAGTGTGAGTATTGAGTCAGGTAAAGTGTAAATTGTTTGTCATACTGTATAATAACAGTCTGAGCAAAGGCTTAAAGTTCTGCTGGTTTCCACGGTAGATTAATTCTAATTTGATAAAATTAATATAACAAAAGAACAGTCTAGATCTGCCCTTTATATAAATAATAACTTTTATTTATAACTTTTATTTATATAGCACCTTTAAAAACACATGTCATGAGATAACTTTTGATAATATTGAGTACTATATAAATGAACAGTTGGTTTATTTATTGATTGAACAGTTTTGGTTAAACTAACTCAACAGCTAGTCACTTTCACCTTCACTGTCTGCATAATGAAGTTAATTGACATTATAGTACATGACCAGTAGTCTGTCAAACCCTTGCCATTTCTCAGAACAGGTTACAATTTACAAGTCAAGCTTATAAGTCACTGAGGATTAGAAGGTTCTGCCACATACAAGCTTTAAATGAGTCACATCTTCACCAGACATCCTGTATAAGAAGCAACATATAGGGACTTGCTTTCCAATTGAAGTGAGATTTTGTCAAGTTTTCTATATCTAAATAATAATCTAAAAAGCAAAGCTCTCTTCCATATTTCAATTTGGGTAAATGCATGACTCATTACTTACTTGTTCAGTGAACAATATTTAAAACAATAACAATAAGTTAAAACAAGACAAACAAAAGAAAAGGAATTTGAGTAAGTCCATGATAATACCTCTGTCCTGTGTGAAGGCTGTAGAAACTGTTCCAATCCCCTGTTTTTTCTCCACAGTCAGCACATTCACTACATGTGAAGGAATCATCATAATCTTTACCCTGCAAAAAGAAACGCAATGTAAAAAGTGACAAATATTTACAGGCGAGGGCAACTACATTATCTCTTTACTAAAATCGAAATGATATAATGAATAATGCAAATTAGCTGAATGGGTGCACTGTAGCGTGCTGATACACATTTTATAAAAATAACAATGTTATTTAAGAGTTAACAGTATTTTGCAAACAATGCATTTTTTTCATGTTTTATTATTTTTCCTGAGGGTGGAATAGTCAGTGTGTCTCTGCCTTTGTGTTTACGCACACATGACCTCATCTCCCTGGGGAGATGAGGTCATGTGTGAGCATGAAGAGGCTTTCAGGAGTCTTTATCACCACACGCCTCCAAGAGGAGACCCTCACCCTGCCTCCTGTTCTGGTTCACTTGCAGACAAGCACACTGACACAGCAATGCGCCAATATGGAACAAAGCACTCGATCAACCACCAGCTGGCACTAGTAGGCTAACATGTGCACCATACATCATGCTGTAATATACTTTATGAGTGAGTGTATTTCTGAGGTCATATTTGTAATGCACAGTTTTTATGACACTAAAGAGAAGGTTTATTTTTAACAGTTATATTTTAAATATGTGCCTAAAAAAATATGGTCTGAACTGCAATTGAAAGCTGCCCTGATACCTTCAGAAAAAAATACTTGGTGTAAATAAATTATAAGGCAATAATACTGCGCTACGATGGAGGGGACTATGCAGTCTACATATTTAAAAAAATAACATCGTCAGGGATTGCGGGTGCAGCTGACTTTCTTTGTCTGCAGCATTCACAGCTCAAGCATCCCTCCCCCCGTTTCCTTTCCCCCTCAGCCCAGCTTGTTTTCAGCACCATGGACAGTGACCTGCCTACTGGAGCTGCGTTGCCATGGTGACGCGCAGTCTATTCTGCTGGAGCACGCGGTGTCCTCTGAAGCTGTCTGTGATTTAATATTCAGACGTGCCCCTCCCTCATTTCACAGCGCTACATCCGCAGCACACATATCTGATGAACAGTCTCTGTTAAAATATATATCATGTATGTAGTGTCGTTACTCTGCCTATTACGGGTCGATAATTAAGACATTTGGGTGCTGGTGAAAAATATGGGTGCATTGGTGAAGCATGGGGGAGCGTGGAGGCAGAAAAGGGAGGGGCTGTTGCAGAATGCGGCAGTGCTCGTGCACGCGCTCGAATTGGCCTAGTTCCAGAGGCAATACGTAACACGCGGGAGGGGTGCGGTGGTTTGGTGTTTTTACCATGTAGGTCACTTTGTTGCCTACTTATTTGTGAATGTTATCATTATTTTTCACTCCCCTGATATTTTCTTGTGTGGTTTTCAATAATCTTCAGCAGTGTGGAATGATTTTGCAAGGCAAAAGTATGCATTCAAAACGTAGAGCAGATACTCTGGAAAGGGTCAGTGATGAGAGCTGCAGTTGCGGGTTTGATCCACGAGAGGTCACTGCACACCTCTGCTACAAGATAAAGATTGTGGGAGTGTGCAGAGCAGAGCACATGAAGCTTAAGCAGCCAGAATATGAATGTCCACAGCTTTACCTGCAAGAGCAACAACACTACAACCATTCGGACAATGTATATTATAACTAACTTTGAATGAACTAATTAATTTTGGCCAAAAAGATAGAAACACAGACATGTAAGATACATACTTTTAACATAACCAGTGAGTGTAAATGTTAATATAGTTACTTTGCACAACAATTCTGGCGCGCACACCCACAGCTGAACCGAAATAATTGAGAGGACTAAGCACACAGTGGGATATCAGTCCTGATTGAACTGGATCTCTCACTCAGGAGAAAACATTATTGACACACGTCAATGTACACACATACGCACTTGACATACCATCAGTACACATCACTGCTATCACTGCTCAATGTGCTCATATGAACAAAGTCACTGTCTTAAAAATGAGAGCAAATATTTCCATTTATCTCAACAAGACATTATTCATTTGAGTGCGCGTTTTTAACATTGTCTCAGAGAAATCCCTGTTGCTGTTATGTTTTCTCTCCACTGTTACTATTATATTATTATAGTTATTTATTCTGATTAAAATCCCCAATTCAGTTGCCTCCATCGAGTAAACAATGCAGCTTTTAATCGACTTTATGATGTGTTATAATGTGTTCATTCCAGATTGAATAAGATGTTTTTTTCGTTTTCAGCCGTACAATAGCAGATGTTTGCACTCGTATACAAGTTTCTGCATATGGGTTTAGAAATTAATTATTTACTATATTATTGTATTCTTAGGGTTCAAAGCTATTCATCAAGAAACTACAGAAATAAAGATTTGCTGTACGGCCTTAAATTTTCCAGTTGTTACTTTTCATCTCGAAACGTTTTGTTGCCTATTGAATTCTTTCTTTGAAACGTCTGCAGAGGAAATCAATTTCGAAAGGATTTGGCGTTTTTACTTACAAATATGTAGGGCTTACCTGTGGAAAACTTGTATTTTATTGAAAAGAATAAGGAAAAAAAACAAAAAACACCAACTGCTCATACTAGAATGCGTCCTAAGGTCGCGGAAGTAAGAAAAAAAACAGATACCATTAAAGAAAACGCATCGCGATCGCACCATCGTTATAGTGACAATAGGTGGCGCTGCTACACAGTATATCTCTACAGTGGTTGGGTGCAGAGGGGTTGTCTTTTTTTCCATGTGCAGTCAGTAATATCCAAATGAGACGGTTGGACAGATCGGACTACATGCTTCCTTTGGCTGCAGTGATGGTTCAAGAAGACTTTTATGGCCTGAAAAAGGAGACTGAAAGTCGAAAATAATTTTGTACGGATTTTAGACCGTTCATTAAAAAGGCTGATCAAAAACAATGGCGGTAAGGGACACAAAGGGACGACAGGATGTATGGATTTCTTTTAGTCTGGCTCTGGTGATTCTAACTAACTTGGAAGGAATATCGGCTCAAATACGTTATTCAATTCTGGAAGAATCAAAATTGGGAAGTCAGGTTGGAAATGTGGCTAAAGACATTGGATTAGAGCTCGGCAGACTGACGGACAGGAATCTTCGTGTTGTGTCAGGAACAAAGCAGGATCTGTTCAAGGTAAACCCAAAAGATGGAGTTCTGTTCGTGAACCAGAGAGTAGACAGAGAGGAGCTGTGCGCAAAAAATGCTCCATGCATCACAAATCTGAAAGCAGTTGTAGAAAACCCCCTTGAGATGCACCAAGTAATAGTAGAGATACTCGATGTAAACGACAACTCGCCGAAATTTCCCGAAGAAAACTACACATTAGAGGTGCTGGAGTCCGCCACAGTTGGATCTCGATTTCAGATGGAAGGAGCAAATGACTTGGATGTCGGCCTGAATTCTTTACAGTCATATAAGTTGAACCATAACCAGTATTTTCGTCTTGAAATCGAGGAATTTGGGGAGGAAGGCAAGGTTCCATTTCTTATTTTACAAAGACCTTTGGATAGAGAGAATGCAGATCAGCATTGGTTACTGTTAACAGCTACAGATGGAGGTAAACCATTTAAATCTGGTACTATTAATATTACAGTTATCGTATCGGATATAAATGACAACTCGCCAGTGTGTGACAAACAGAAATACACTGTAACAGTGAAAGAAAACGCACCATCAGGAACATTTCTGCTGACAGTGAATGCATCGGACTCTGATGAGGGTCTGAACGGGGAGATAGAATATTCTTTACGGAGTAAACTCAGAGGACTCTCTACTGAGCCCTTCGATTTGGATAGCAGAACTGGAAAACTAACTGTGAAGGGAGGCCTCGATTACGAGGAAAAGCAGGTCTACGAGATTAAAGTGCTGGCTGCTGACAAAGGTGTTTGTCTCTCTCACACACTGCAATGTGGTTGTGAGAGTGGAGGACGTGAACGATAATCAGCCTGAAATTGACATCACATCCCTTTCAAGTCGCATACCAGAGGATGCTCCTCCTGGCACTGTGGTGGCGTTGATGGGTGTGACGGACCTTGACTCAGGTGTGAACGGGCAGGTGGTCTGCAGTGTGTCTGGTCATTTGCCCTTTGACCTAAAGCAATCTCCGGACGGACAGTCATACTCTTTGGTAACCAAGGACTACCTAGATAAAGAAACAACATCCATGTATCATATTACAATAACAGCTAAGGACCTTGGAAGCCCCTCCCTGTCGTCTACGAAGGTGATACAGGTAGATGTAATAGATGTCAATGATAATAGACCTTTGTTCTCTCAAAGCCCATACACTTTTTATGTGTTTGAAAACAACAAAGCTGGAATGTCAATATTTTCAGTAAGCGCATCTGATGCTGATGGAGGGGAAAACGCTGCAGTCACGTATTCACTCGACCATAAGAGTCCCGGACCCACTGTTACCTCCTTTCTACATATAAATGAAGCCAATGGTACAATTTCTGCGCATAAAAGTTTCGACTTTGAAACAGTGAAAACGTTCCAGTTCCAAGTTGTGCCACAGATTCTGGAACTCCGTCACTAAGCAGCAACGTCACAGTGAACGTGTTCATTCTGGATCAGAACGACAACGCTCCAGTCATCCTGTATCCAGTCAGCTCCAACGGTTCTGCTGAAGGTGTGGAGGAGATTCCCCGCAATGTGAACGCAGCACACTTGGTGACTAAAGTCAGAGCCTATGACGCTGATATAGGATATAACGGCTGGTTACTGTTTTCACTGCAGGAAGTGACTGAGCACAGTCTCTTTGCTTTGGACCGCTATACAGGACAGATCAGAACACTTCGCTCATTCACAGAGACAGATGAGGCTGAGCAGAAACTGGTCATACTGGTCAAAGACAATGGCAACGTTTCCCTCTCTGCAACAGCTACTGTCATTGTCAAAGTTGTGGAGCCCAAAGAGGCTTTTGCTGCTTCTGATGTTAAAAGTGCAACAAACGATGATGAGGAGAGTAATGTGACTTTTTATCTCATGATAACTTTGGCCTCAGTTTCAGCACTTTTTCTCATCAGCATCATCGTGCTCATTGCAATGCAGTGCTCCAAATCACAGACTACACTTCTAAATATCTACAAGAGCTAATTATGACGGGACACTGTGTCACAGCATCCAGTACAGATCTGGAGACAAACGCTACATGTTAGTGGGACCCAGAATGAGTATAGGATCTACTATAGTCCCGGGCAGCCATGCTAACACACTAGTGCTCCCTGACAGGAGGAGGACTTCTACTGAGGTAAGATTGATGTGGCTAATGTCACAAATATTGCTAATCGCCTGGTTGTAACCGCTGTCCATGGTGCTGACATGCTGATGCTTTATATTGACAAGCAAGTCAGCGTCTTTGAAATATAGAAAAGTAGAGTGTAGGATCTAATACAGTCCCATGTGAAAGGTAGATGGCATCTACAGAGGTAGATGTTGTGTGTATGTATATATATTTAATTTCCATAAAATATTTCATAATCCATTCACAGTTAAATTGCAGCTCTCACGTTGCAATAAAAGTGGTTGTGTTTACTGCATTGATTCTGCTGGTGTGAAATGACACTGTCCATGGTTCTGAAAAACATTTAGACCCATTTGACAATCCATTGTAAGTTATTTTTTTGTGTAATAATCTTAATATAGATGGGAATCACACTTGACTACTTTTTATCCCTTTATGTGGATGTTATTCACATGATTTGAAGTGAATCGTGTTTACACTGCAAATTAAGAGAGGTGTAATTGTTTGTCCAATCAAAGGTGCAATTAAACCAACACAAGGGAAAGGAATGCGGATTGGGGTCTGCTTTGAAATATCCAACACATGTAGTTGACGTGCAAGACCATTAGGGGCTTTTTAGAAGAAGCTCATATCGTGCCTTTTAAGACAGGACTATCGGGCAGCAATGTGGCATACACGAGTAGTTTACAACAGACTCCCAAGAGAAAGCAAGTTAAACAGTTGTGTTTTCGTATCGTACTGCAGCCCACTGACCACGTGGTGTCAGTGTGGCCTAGATAATGTACGTTTAGCACTCTTTGAGGCCCTGCCCATCTCTGCATGATCTCTGATGGAGATGGTTCTCTGACGGTGTTCTCATCGTATGCTTGTATATCAAGAAATATGAATAGCGCTTATTTGTGTGAAAGATAATATTTGAGAATTGTGAAATTGATCTAGTGAGAGTGATTTGATGAACAGTTGGATTAGTTTTGCACCAAAGACGGATTTCCTTGTTTTTTTCTTCACGATGGGAAAACGAGGACAAAGGCGACGGGTAAACTGCTGGTGTGTTACCGGGATTTTGTTGCTTTGCTTCTTGGAGCGGGTTATGGCTCAGCTGAGATATGCTGTTCCAGAAGAAGTACGAGCTGGATCCCCCGTTGGAAATGTTGCAAAGGATTTAGGCTTGGACATTAGCACTTTGAAAGACAGGCGGTTTCGGATTGTTTCTGGGCCAAATCATGCTCTGTTCCAGTTAAATCAAAACAATGGAGTGCTTTATATCGGGGAAAAGGTGGATCGGGAAGAGCTATGTGAAGGAATGAAAGTATGCTTGATTAACCTGAAAATCGTTGTTGAAAGCCCACTGGAAATACACCATGTTGGCGTTGAAATAACGGATGTTAATGATCATTCACCGACTTTTCCCGAAAGTGAGCAGCGACTGGAAATAGCAGAGCACACTCCTCCAGGTACACGTTTCCAAATCCATGCAGCTAGAGACCCTGATGTTGGTACGCAGTCGGTCAGACTGTACAAATTAAACCAGAATGAGTTTTTTGAAATTGAAACCAGAGACACTGAAGAGGATAAGATACCATTTTTAGTGCTGAAAACGCCATTGGATAGGGAACAAAAGGCAGAACATTGTTTAGTGCTAACTGCTCTGGATGGAGGCAATCCATCTAAATCTGGAGGTCTCAATCTAACGATCACTGTGCTGGATACAAATGATAATCGCCCTGTGTTCAGCAAAGATATATACACCGTGTCGTTAAACGAAAATGCACCTATTGGAACTCTTGTAATAAAATTAAATGCTACAGATTTAGATGAAGGTTCTAATAGCGAAATAGAATACAGTTTTGGAAAAACGCAAAAGAAGAAAGTGCATGACACATTTGAATTAGACAGCGTCAATGGCGAGATTCGAGTAAAAGGAAAAGTAGACTTCGAAGATACGGAGATATACAGACTAGAGCTGCAGGCTTCGGATAAAGGCCAGCCACCTCTGACGGGCGGTAGTAGGGTTGTTGTAAAAATAATGGATTTGAATGACAATAAGCCAGAGATTGAAGTAACATCATTGTCAAACTTGGTCCCAGAAGATTCCAAGCCTGGCACGGTTATTTCTCTCATCAGTGTCACTGACAAAGATTCGGGCATTAATGGAAAAGTTATTTGTGCAATCTCGAAAAATGTTCCGTTTGATTTGACGCCATCTATTGAGGAAAACATGTATTCTCTTGTTACAAAGGGACGTTTGGACCGAGAAATGGTGTCCCATTATGACATCACAATAACCGCTACAGACTGTGGTGAACCCCCTCTTTCCACTGTAAAAAGCCTGAGTGTCCAGGTGTCTGATGTTAACGACAACAGACCAGTTTTCACTCAGAATCCATTTGAACTGTATTTGGTAGAAAACAATGCCCCAGGTGCATCAATACTGTCCGTGATAGCTGTTGATAATGATCTGGATGAAAATGCTGTAATAACATATCGTATAGTGAGAGGCGATGGGCTTCAGAGTGATGCGACAACTTTCCTTAATGTAAATCCAGAAAATGGACAAATATCTGCGCTGAAAAGTTTCGACTTTGAAACAGTGAAAACGTTCCAGTTCCAAGTTGTGGCCACAGATTCTGGAACTCCGTCACTAAGCAGCAACGTCACAGTGAACGTGTTCATTCTGGATCAGAACGACAACGCTCCAGTCATCCTGTATCCAGTCAGCTCCAACGGTTCTGCTGAAGGTGTGGAGGAGATTCCCCGCAATGTGAACGCAGCACACTTGGTGACTAAAGTCAGAGCCTATGACGCTGATATAGGATATAACGGCTGGTTACTGTTTTCACTGCAGGAAGTGACTGAGCACAGTCTCTTTGCTTTGGACCGCTATACAGGACAGATCAGAACACTTCGCTCATTCACAGAGACAGACGAGGCTGAGCAGAAACTGGTCATACTGGTCAAAGACAATGGAAACGTTTCCCTCTCTGCAACAGCTACTGTCATTGTCAAAGTTGTGGAGCCCAAAGAGGCTTTTGCTGCTTCTGATGTTAAAAGTGCAACAAACGATGATGAGGAGAGTAATGTGACTTTTTATCTCATGATAACTTTGGCCTCAGTTTCAGCACTTTTTCTCATCAGCATCATCGTGCTCATTGCAATGCAGTGCTCCAAATCCACAGACTACACTTCCAAATATCTACAAGAGACTAATTATGACGGGACACTGTGTCACAGCATCCAGTACAGATCTGGAGACAAACGCTACATGTTAGTGGGACCCAGAATGAGTATAGGATCTACTATAGTCCCGGGCAGCCATGCCAACACACTAGTGCTCCCTGACAGGAGGAGGACTTCTACAGAGGTAAGATTTTAAGAAATGTTTTATTTATTTAGATATAATGGTACAACTCCCCCCCGCATTTCTTAGAATGTTTTAATCATTGCTATACACATTTTTCAGTGAATAGCACCAACCATCATCTCGATAAGCTTGCGGCTATATTCTAAGGATTCTCCTAAGTTTGTTTTTACTTTTTCTTTTAGCTTTTTCACATTTATCATACAATGGGCTTGTTTAAGCACGTAGAGATGTAAATATGTTCTCACATACGAGTTATCGGTCAAAAAGAAAACATTTGACTTACATATTAGAGATACTCGATTTGAAAGAGGACAGTTTCTGACAATGATCGCAGCTGCTGTCCATGGTGCTGAAATAAACGGTTTACTTATTTGTAGTTAATGGCAATACCTTGGCATATGTAGAGAGTTTTGTCATGACGGTATCATGAATACGAGGTCTCATTGTTTTTAACTTCCCAAGGAAATCAAATCGAGCTTGTCAAAAGCTACAAGTACTTGGGATTTATTCTTGATGTGATCTGTCTTTTAAATCACACATTGCCAATTTGGCCTCTAAACTCAAGGTGAAGTTGGGATTTTATTATAGAAATAAATCCTGCGTTTCCCTCATGTTGAGGAAACTTCTTGTTTCATCAACTTTTCTACCTTTGTTGGATTATGGAGATGTGCGCCTCGGCCACATGTTTACAGTCGTTGGACACCGTATATCATTGTGCGCTGATATTCTTTACTGGTTGTAGACGCTTTACTCATCACTGTGACCTGTACACGAAATATGATTGGCCATCCTTGAAGGTGCGCAGATATTTACACTGGCTGAGACGTATTTTTAAAGCTCTTTTTGGTTTGGTTCCTTCTTATTTATGTCCTTACCTCCAAAGAACCAGAAGCCACTATGCCTTGCATTCCTGTGATGTTTTTAAACTGTCTGTTCCCCGTGTCCGCACTGAGCTCAGTGAAGGCCTTTTGCTCTATCTTAAAAGATTAAAAAACGCGAGACCATTGGACAGTGCATGTGTTTCTGAATTGTAATCTGTCATCACGACTCTGCACGTTATCTGTAAACTAATTTGCACATTGTAATTGTTGTCTCATAACTTTTAGTTTGTAAACTGTTTCTTTATCATGTAATATTTATTATGACGTGTGCTGCTGCCCTCTTGGCCAGGTCACCCTTATGAAAGAGATCTTGATCTCAGTGGGTTAATTACCTGGTTAAATAAAGGTTGAAGAAAAAAAATAAATGAAACCAATAATGCAATAGCCAAACACTGACTGAAAAAAATAATATTTCAAGTCGAGTGTTGCTGTACACATGTATGAACAATATAATCCATCTTATTTGTTCCAAATTTGAGCAACTTTTGTTCTGGAAAGAAAGGCTGTGCGACGACTAGTGGCAGCTATCCATTGTGCTGAAACGCAAGAACACGTGATACAGTAAAGGATAAGATTATATTGTATGATTAGCTGATAAGTCTCTTGATAAGGAGGGGGGTGCTATAATGTAACAGTTTATCCGAGTGATATTTTACTTCCGTTTCTTTTCTGTCCTCTTTAAAAAAAGATCCAGTTCAAACATAATACAGTACATGTATTTCTCAGTTATGAACTCTGGGTGTCACTATTACATCGGTTAACATAAGAAGAAGTGGTCCCTCCCTTTTCAAAGCTTTTGTTTCCTAGTGAAGAGAGCAAATACGGTTTTTGGACTCGAGACGACCAGTCGATGGAATTCATCTTTTAATTGCAGATATGTGGTATTAAGTGGTTTGGACACAAATTACTCGACGTGGAAGTAGCAGGTTTTTGTGAATATTAATCTTGTTGGATTACGATGGGAATTGACACAAAAACGCGAACAATGGGCTTCTACTGCTTTGCTTTTTATTCGTCTTTACTGCTGCTGTTCGGGACACAGGCTTCAGCTCAGACACGGTACTCTATCCCAGAGGAGCTGAAAGAGGGAAGTGTTGTTGGAAATGTTGCAAAGGATCTTGGTCTTGACACCACCTCTTTGACTGATCGACGGTTCCGTGTTGTGTCTGGCAGTAAGGACGCTATATTTGAAGTAAACCATAATAACGGGGTATTGTATGTTCACCGGCATATTGACAGGGAGGAGCTCTGTGAGGGCACCGGTGCATGTCTCATGGAGCTCAAAATCCTTGTTGAAAACCCTTTGGAAATACATTACGTTGTCGTAGAAATTACTGACGTTAATGACCATGCTCCTAGTTTCCCAGAAAAAGAACAGATATTTGAAATAGCTGAGCAACATTACAGGACGGCGATTCCAACTGCACGCTGCCAGCGACCCAGATGCTGGAATCAACTCTATTCGTACATACACTTTGACTTCAAATGAACATTTTCAAATAGATATCCGCCAAAGTGACGAAGACAAAATACCGTTTTTAGTGCTGAAGAAATCGTTAGACAGGGAACAAAATGACAAACACACGCTGCTGCTGACAGCGATAGATGGAGGTAAACCTCAAAAATCAGGAACATTAAATATTACTATTATTGTTCTTGACAGCAATGATAACCGTCCAATGTTTAGTCAAGAGAATTACCAAATTGAAATAGAAGAAAATGTCCCAGTTGGTACTTCAATATTTAGAATAAATGCGACAGATCCAGATGAAGGGACTAATGGGAATGTTCAATACAGTCTTGTTAAAACTCTTAAGAAAAGGGTCTCTGACATTTTTGAAATGGATAAAATAACTGGAGAAATAAGGGTAAAAGGAGTGGTGGACTTTGAAGAAAACGAGGTGTATTCACTCGATGTTGAGGCCTCTGATAAAGGAACGCCACCACTGACCGGTGAGTGTAGAGTAATTATAAAAATAAAAGACATCAATGATAATCCCCCTGAAATAGAAGTCACGTCACTGTCAAATTCAGTGCCTGAAGATTCAAAGCCTGGAACAATTGTTTCTCTTCTTAGTTTGATGGACAAAGACTCTGGTGTTAATGGTAAGATAATTTCACATGTATCAAATGACGTACCTTTCGAGTTAAAACCTTCATATAAGGAAAATATTTATTCGATTGTCACTAAGGGACTTGTGGATCGAGAGCAGGTGTCACATTATGAGATAACTATAAAAGCCACTGATTGTGGTGACCCTCCCTTATCTTCTTTTAAAACTCTCAGTATTCAGATATCAGATGTGAATGACAACAGTCCACATTTTGAACAAAACCCTTTACAGTTTTATCTGGTAGAAAATAACGTTGCTGGAGCTTCAATATTCTCTGTGAGCGCAACAGATGAAGACATAAATGAAAATGCAGCTATTTCATATCATATTGTGAGAGAGGGAAGTCAAAATGGTATGACATCATTTATTAATGTAAACTCTGAAAACGGACACATAACCGCGCTGAAAAGTTTCGACTTTGAAACAGTGAAAACGTTCCAGTTCCAAGTTGTGGCCACAGATTCTGGAACTCCGTCACTAAGCAGCAACGTCACAGTGAACGTGTTCATTCTGGATCAGAACGACAACGCTCCAGTCATCCTGTATCCAGTCAGCTCCAACGGTTCTGCTGAAGGTGTGGAGGAGATTCCCCGCAATGTGAACGCAGCACACTTGGTGACTAAAGTCAGAGCCTATGACGCTGATATAGGATATAACGGCTGGTTACTGTTTTCACTGCAGGAAGTGACTGAGCACAGTCTCTTTGCTTTGGACCGCTATACAGGACAGATCAGAACACTTCGCTCATTCACAGAGACAGACGAGGCTGAGCAGAAACTGGTCATACTGGTCAAAGACAATGGAAACGTTTCCCTCTCTGCAACAGCTACTGTCATTGTCAAAGTTGTGGAGCCCAAAGAGGCTTTTGCTGCTTCTGATGTTAAAAGTGCAACAAACGATGATGAGGAGAGTAATGTCACTTTTTATCTCATGATAACTTTGGCCTCAGTTTCAGCACTTTTTCTCATCAGCATCATCGTGCTCATTGCAATGCAGTGCTCCAAATCCACAGACTACACTTCCAAATATCTACAAGAGACTAATTATGACGGGACACTGTGTCACAGCATCCAGTACAGATCTGGAGACAAACGCTACATGTTAGTGGGACCCAGAATGAGTATAGGATCTACTATAGTCCCGGGCAGCCATGCCAACACACTAGTGCTCCCTGACAGGAGGAGGACGTCTACTGAGGTAAGAGCATTTAGCCCTACGTCACAAATATTGCTTATCGCCTGGTTGTAACCGCTGTCCATGGTGCTGATGCGTTTGCTTCATGTTGACAAACATGTGAGCATATTCGAAATCTAGAAACATGGCTAGATGTTTTGCAATACAAGGGCTGTTTGTTTTCAACAGGTGCATATCATACTCTCATCAGTTACATTTGAGAGGGAACAAAGTTATTTTTTTGTCTGATGAGTTATTGTGAACATGTTTCATGAGTTTTTTCAAATGCTGAGCAATATATTTACTTTAACATTTAAATATCGGCGTAATTTCATTATAACTGGGTTCAATGGATACTGAAATATATTAGGTATTTGTGTTCTAGTTGAAGATAGTATGCAAATGAATCAAATTAACGTTAAAGTACACCTATACAAAGAAAATTAATGGAAGCTTTCCACTTTAAATACTTGATGTATGGAGTGGGAGAGGGAAGAGAGAGTGGGGAGAGAGAAGAGCAAGAGAGAAATAGGGAGAGAGAGAGAGAGAGAGAGAGAGAGAGAGAGAGAGAGAGAGAGAGGGAGTTAAAGAATGTCAAATCGTGTTTATCGTTGTATTCCTGTCTGCACTTTTCATTTTGCAGTGACTACTATTTTCACTTAACGTAGTTATTAACGACGGTTTTGATTTTTTTTTTAAATATATGATTGCAAATAAAAAGCTTGTTACATTACTTTGCTGACCTCCGGGTGTCACTGTATCATCTGAAAAATATAGAAGTAGTTGTCCCTCCCCTCACAAAGCCTTTGTTTCATATCTAGAGCGGGGCAGGCATACGATCCAAGCACTCCGGTGGCTGTTTCCTTATTTTGCATTTGGTAGCGAAACTAACAATTGGACATATGCTGTCGCAGTAAAAGTAGTTAGTGTGTTTTTCTACGTTGAACAAAAATAATGGGGACGAACAGGCGACGTCGAACAAGGGACTACTATTTTTCTATGATTCGCTTGTCTCTGCTGCTGTTTTGCGGAAAACTGTCTCACGCTCAGATACGTTATTCTGTTCCTGAGGAGGTGAAAGAGGGAACTGTTGTTGGAAATGTTGCAAAGGATCTTGGTTTTGAAATTTCCTCGTTGACCAACAGACGGTTCCGGGTTGTGTCTGGATCCAAGGATGCATTTTTGGAGGTAAACCGGGACGATGGGGTTCTCTTTGTTAATAGGAAAATCGACAGAGAGGAGCTCTGTCAAGGGAGCGGTGCCTGCTTAATGGAGTTAAAGATTCTCGTCGAAAACCCTTTGGAAATGCATCATATTGTTGTAGATATTTCCGATGTAAATGATCACTCTCCTGGTTTTCCCGAGAAAGAACAGACATTTGAAATATTTGAACAGACATTACCAGGAAAGCGTTTTCAGCTACACACAGCTCGTGATCCAGATGCTGGAATTAACTCTATTCGTACATACACTTTGACTTCAAATGAACATTTTGAAGTTGACATTCGTCAAAGTGACGAAGATAAAATACCGTTTTTAGTGCTGAAGAAATCATTAGACAGAGAACAAAAGGACAAACACACGCTGCTGCTGACAGCGATAGATGGAGGTAAACCTCAAAAATCAGGAACATTGAACGTTACTATCATTGTTCTTGACAGTAATGACAATCGCCCAGTGTTTAGTCAGGAGATTTACCAAATTGAAATACAGGAAAATGTCCAATCGGTACTTCAATCTTTAAAATGAATGCAACAGATCCAGATGAAGGCACCAATAGTGAGATTCAATACAGTCTTGGAAAAACTCTGAAGAAAAAAGTGTATGACATTTTTGAATTGGACAAATTAACTGGAGAAGTAAGGGTAAAAGGAGTGTTGGACTATGAGGAGAACAACGTTTATAGACTTGATGTTGAGGCCTCTGATAAAGGAACACCTCCACTGACTGGTGAGTGTAGAGTCATTATAAAAATTAAAGATATCAATGATAATCCACCTGAAATAGAAGTCACATCACTGTTGAACACAGTGCCTGAAGATTCAAAGCCTGGAACAGTTATTTCTCTACTTAGTGTTTCGGATAAGGACTCTGGTGTCAATGGAAAAATTATTACAAGCATAACCTCAGATGTTCCCTTTGAATTAAAACCTTCTTATAAGGAGAACATATATTCAGTTGTCACCACAGAACTTCTGGATCGAGAGCAGGTGCCAACTTATGACATAACAATAAAAGCCACTGATTGTGGTGACCCTCCATTATCTACTTTTAAAACTCTCAGTATTCAGATATCAGATGTAAATGACAATAAACCAAAGTTCTCTGAAAACCCTTTACAGTTTTATCTGGTAGAAAATAACGTTGCTGGAGCTTCAATATTCTCTGTGAGCGCAACAGACAATGACATAAATGAAAATGCAGCTATTTCATATCATATTGTGAGGGAAGGAAGTCAAAATGGTATGACATCATTTATTAATGTAAACTCTGAAAACGGACACATAACCGCGCTGAAAAGTTTCGACTTTGAAACAGTGAAAACGTTCCAGTTCCAAGTTGTGGCCACAGATTCTGGAACTCCGTCACTAAGCAGCAACGTCACAGTGAACGTGTTCATTCTGGATCAGAACGACAACGCTCCAGTCATCCTGTATCCAGTCAGCTCCAACGGTTCTGCTGAAGGTGTGGAGGAGATTCCCCGCAATGTGAACGCAGCACACTTGGTGACTAAAGTCAGAGCCTATGACGCTGATATAGGATATAACGGCTGGTTACTGTTTTCACTGCAGGAAGTGACTGAGCACAGTCTCTTTGCTTTGGACCGCTATACAGGACAGATCAGAACACTTCGCTCATTCACAGAGACAGACGAGGCTGAGCAGAAACTGGTCATACTGGTCAAAGACAATGGAAACGTTTCCCTCTCTGCAACAGCTACTGTCATTGTCAAAGTTGTGGAGCCCAAAGAGGCTTTTGCTGCTTCTGATGTTAAAAGTGCAACAAACGATGATGAGGAGAGTAATGTGACTTTTTATCTCATGATAACTTTGGCCTCAGTTTCAGCACTTTTTCTCATCAGCATCATCGTGCTCATTGCAATGCAGTGCTCCAAATCCACAGACTACACTTCCAAATATCTACAAGAGGCTAATTATGACGGGACACTGTGTCACAGCATCCAGTACAGATCTGGAGAGAAACGCTACATGTTAGTGGGACCCAGAATGAGTATAGGATCTACTATAGTCCCCGGCAGCCATGCCAACACACTAGTGCTCCCTGACAGGAGGAGGACTTCTACAGAGGTAAGAGCATTTAGCCCTACGTCATAAATATTGTTAATCGCCTGGTTGTAACCGCTGTCCATGGTGCTGATGCGTTTGCTTCTTGTTGACAAGCAAGGGAGAGTTTAAGAATATAGAAAACTTGGCTCTGTTTTGCGACATAAGGGCTGTTTGTTTTCAAATGGTGCATATCATACTCAAATGAGAACTATTTTAGACGGAACAACGTTTATTTTTTTCTGTTGAGTTACGTCATGTGTTATGAGTTTATTCAAAAGCTTAGCAATATTTGCTTGAACGTTTGACTTATAAATCATTTCAATATAAGTGGCGCTCAATTGATACTGATATATATTAGGTATTTGTGTTCCAGTTGAAGATAATATGCAAAATACTCAAACACTTTCAATAAAAAAACAACTGTTAACTATAACTACAAAGAAAGCTAATGGAAGCTGTAAACTTGAAATAACAATTTCAGAGAGAGAGGGAGAGAGAGTTTAACCAATGCTTACAAATAGCTTTCCACTGACTTGTGTGGACACCGTTCACTCTTCCGTCTTTTTGTTTCATACGTCTCAAACATTTCTAATATTAAATAAAGCAGGATATAAACTGTATTTCTCAGTTATTACCTCTGGGTGTCACTATTATATTAGATAACATCAGAGCAAGTGGTCCCTCCCCTTTCAAAGCTTTTGTTTCCATAGTGAATAGAGCAAAGACGATTTTTGACTCGAGACAACCAGTCGATGGAATTCATCTTTCCGGTTGAAAATTTGTGGTATTAAGCGTGATGGACATAAATAACTCTACGTGGAAGTAGCAGGTTTTTGTGAATATTTGTTTTATTGGATTACGATGGGAATTGACACAAAAACGCGAACAATGGGCTTCTACTGCTTTGCTTTTTATTCGTCTTTACTGCTGCTGTTCGGGACGCAGGCTTCAGCTCAGACACGGTACTCTATCCCAGAGGAGCTGAAAGAGGGAAGTGTTGTTGGAAATGTTGCAAAGGATCTTGGTCTTGACACCACCTCTTTGACTGATCGACGGTTCCGTGTTGTGTCTGGCAGTAAGGACGCTATATTTGAAGTCAACCATAATAACGGGGTATTGTATGTTCACCGGCATATTGACAGGGAGGAGCTCTGTGAGGGCACCGGTGCATGTCTCATGGAGCTCAAAATCCTTGTTGAAAACCCTTTGGAAATACATTACGTTGTCGTAGAAATTACTGACGTTAATGACCATGCTCCTAGGTTTCCAGAGAAAGAACAGATATTTGAAATAGCTGAGCATACATTACCGGGAAAGCGATTTAAACTGCACGCTGCCAGCGACCCAGATGCTGGAATTAACTCTATTCGTACATACACTTTGACTTCAAATGAACATTTTGAAGTAAATATCCGTCAAGGTGATTCGGGTAAGATACCGTTTTTAGTGCTGAAGAAATCATTAGACAGAGAACAAACGGACAAACACACGCTGCTGCTGACAGCAATTGATGGAGGTAAACCCAAAAATCAGGAACATTAAATGTTACTATTATTGTTCTTGACAGCAATGATAACCGTCCAATGTTTAGTCAGGAGATTTACCAAATTGAAATACAAGAAAATGTTAAAATCGGCACTTCAATATTTAAAATGAATGCATCAGATCCAGATGAAGGGACTAATGGGGAAGTAGAATACACCCTCGGAAAAACCTTGATTCAGAAAGTGTATGAACTTTTTGAAATGGACAAGATAACAGGAGATATTAGAGTTAATGGGGTCGTTGATTACGAAGAAAAAGATTTATATGAGCTGGACATTGAGGCCTTTGATAAAGGGACACCTCCACTGACCGGTGAGTGTAGAGTTATCATAAAAATAAAAGACATCAATGATAATCCCCCTGAAATAGAAGTCACATCACTGTCAAATACAGTGTCTGAAGATTCAAAGCCTGGGACAGTTATTTCTCTACTTAGTTTGATGGACAAAGACTCTGGTGTTAATGGAAAAAATATTTTACACATATCGAATGACGTACCTTTCGAGTTAAAACCTTCATATAAGGAAAATATTTATTCAATTGCTACCAAGGATGTCTTAGATCGAGAGCAAGTCTCACATTATGACATAATTATTAAAGCCACTGATTGTGGTGACCCTCCCTTATCTTCTTTTAAAACTCTCAGTATTCAGATATCAGATGTGAATGACAACAGTCCACATTTTGAACAAAACCCTTTACAGTTTTATCTGGTAGAAAATAACGTTGCTGGAGCTTCAATATTCTCTGTGAGCGCAACAGACAATGACATAAATGACAATGCAGCTATTTCATATCATATTGTGAGAGAGGGAAGTCAAAATGGTATGACATCATTTATTAATGTAAACTCTGAAAACGGACACATAACCGCGCTGAAAAGTTTCGACTTTGAAACAGTGAAAACGTTCCAGTTCCAAGTTGTGGCCACAGATTCTGGAACTCCGTCACTAAGCAGCAACGTCACAGTGAACGTGTTCATTCTGGATCAGAACGACAACGCTCCAGTCATCCTGTATCCAGTCAGCTCCAACGGTTCTGCTGAAGGTGTGGAGGAGATTCCCCGCAATGTGAACGCAGCACACTTGGTGACTAAAGTCAGAGCCTATGACGCTGATATAGGATATAACGGCTGGTTACTGTTTTCACTGCAGGAAGTGACTGAGCACAGTCTCTTTGCTTTGGACCGCTATACAGGACAGATCAGAACACTTCGCTCATTCACAGAGACAGACGAGGCTGAGCAGAAACTGGTCATACTGGTCAAAGACAATGGAAACGTTTCCCTCTCTGCAACAGCTACTGTCATTGTCAAAGTTGTGGAGCCCAAAGAGGCTTTTGCTGCTTCTGATGTTAAAAGTGCAACAAACGATGATGAGGAGAGTAATGTGACTTTTTATCTCATGATAACTTTGGCCTCAGTTTCAGCACTTTTTCTCATCAGCATCATCGTGCTCATTGCAATGCAGTGCTCCAAATCCACAGACTACACTTCCAAATACCTACAAGAGACTAATTATGACGGGACACTGTGTCACAGCATCCAGTACAGATCTGGAGACAAACGCTACATGTTAGTGGGACCCAGAATGAGTATAGGATCTACTATAGTCCCGGGCAGCCATGCCAACACACTAGTGCTCCCTGACAGGAGAATGGCATCTGGAGAGGTGAGGCCAGTTTAAAATCTTTATACCTAATGTTTCCATTATGTGTTGTGACTTGTCTTAGCCGACTTACCTCTGTAAAAAAGACAAGGTCTGCAATAATACTTAATATTTGTATTGTATTTGAGAGTTTTTCTGATTTCAACTACTTACGCAAATGTCTAAGCAATGTTTTTTTTTTTTTTAAGTTTTCCTCATCTTGAAACGAAACCAGCATTCCACAATATGATCCACAGTCCATAACACTTGAGCCCTTTCGTGTTATTAATGGTCCTTTTGTGGTTATTATTGAGTTTGATTTCAATGGCTACAATACAGTTTCCTTGTCTAGTTTTGAAAAAGAGACTTTGGAATGAACGTGGTTTGGCTTTTTTGCAATATAAAGGGTTCTCGCTGTCCATGGTTCTGAAAATCCTTTTCAAGATTATTGGTTAAATATAAAAAACGGTATAGGGTTTCATGCTCAAGACATCCGTGACACTTACTTCTGATTATTTGGAGAGTGTTTTGAACATTTCAGATACATATAACTTTAAAGAAGATCCTCTTCAGAAATCATGTTCAACATCTTCTGTCCCTATTATAATGGACCACTGGGTGTCAGTGTTCAGCAGTGTAAAGACAGAGGGGTTTGCTAAATCGTGAGTAAAAGCAGACTCTGCCCCATTCACAGAGTGTTTTTCAGCTCAACCACAAAGAATGGCATCGTGTCCTTTATTGATCAATACTTTTCTCAGCTAACTAGTTTTTCTGAAATGTAATTTTCGGACAACGGGAGGTCATATTTTTTTGCGGGTATTTGTGGATAATATTTTGAATGATTTCAACAAGAAGACAAAGGACAAAGAGGAAATACGATGTCTTGGTCGCGTCCCCTGCTTTTCTCTCTGCTCGTCTGCTTTGGTGATTTTACTTCAGCTCAGATAAAATACTCGACTCCAGAGGAAGTTAAAGTGGGAACTATCATTGGAAATGTTGCCAAGGATTTGGGCCTTGAAGTCAGTACCTTGACAAACCGGCGTTTTCGCATTGTGCACGGAGCTCATGACGAGCGATTCGAGGTAAACCCGAACAATGGGGTTTTGTATGTTCATAAGAATCTCGACAGGGAAGAGATGTGCGATAAAGATGGAGCTTGTTTAAAGGATCTGAAAATTGTTGTGGAAAATCCACTTGAGATCCATTATGTCACTGTGGAAATCACAGATGCTAACGACCATGTACCGACTTTTGTCGAGAAAGAAAAGGTTATAGAAATAGCAGAAAACACTTTTCCAGGAGCTCGATTTCAATTACCAGGTGCCCTTGATCCAGATATTGGAGTAAACTCCGTCCAACGGTACAAGCTGAGTCAAAACGATCATTTCAATCTAGAAATACGAGATAGGGACGATGATAAAATTCCCTTTTTAGTGTTGCAGAGGCAGCTTGACAGAGAGCAGAAAACAACCCATAGCTTGATTTTAACAGCTATAGATGGAGGCACACCGTCAAAATCATCTAATCTTAATCTTACAATAAATGTTCTTGATATCAATGACAACAGACCGACTTTTTCTAAAGAGGTTTATTCTGTGACATTGCAAGAAAATGTTGCATTGGATACTTTTGTGATAAAAGTGAATGCAACCGATCTCGACGAGGGAACTAATGGGGACGTCGAATATTCATTTGGGGGCGATATTAATTCAAAGGTGCTTGATCTATTTAATCTAGACAGACACACAGGCGAAATTATAGTTAAGGGACACATCGACTATGAAACTGCTGATGTTTTCAAGTTAAACGTTCAAGCTTCTGACAGAGGTCAACCTCCGATGACAACGGATTGTAGAGTTATAATAAAAATTCAAGATTTCAACGATAACAGACCAGAAATCGAAGTTACATCCATATCTAGCATGGTTCCAGAAAATGCAAAACATGGGACCGTGGTTTCTCTTATTAGTATAACAGACCGTGATTCTGGTCTCAATGGCAAAGTAAAATGCTCTCTGTCTGGGGATGTACCATTTGAATTAAAACCGTCATTTAAAGAAAACATGTATTCATTGGTGACAAAAGAAACACTGGACAGGGAAACAGTGTCCCATTATGACATTTCAATAACAGCTACAGACTATGGTGAGCCGCCACTGTCCGCATTTAAGACATTAAGTATTCAGGTGTCAGACGTGAACGACAACATCCCGGAGTTCTCACAAAGTCCACTGGAATTATATTTAACAGAAAATAATGCTCCTGGAGAATCAATATTTTCAGTGAGTGCTGTTGACAAAGACTTGAACGATAATGCTGCAGTATCCTATCGTATAACTAGAGGGGGTGGCGGTCATAATGATATGGCATCTTTTCTGAATATAAACCCTGAAAATGGACAAATAACCGCGCTGAAAGGTTTCGACTTTGAAACAGTGAAAACGTTCCAGTTCCAAGTTGTGGCCACAGATTCTGGAACTCCGTCACTAAGCAGCAACGTCACAGTGAACGTGTTCATTCTGGATCAGAACGACAACGCTCCAGTCATCCTGTATCCAGTCAGCTCCAACGGTTCTGCTGAAGGTGTGGAGGAGATTCCCCGCAATGTGAACGCAGCACACTTGGTGACTAAAGTCAGAGCCTATGACGCTGATATAGGATATAACGGCTGGTTACTGTTTTCACTGCAGGAAGTGACTGAGCACAGTCTCTTTGCTTTGGACCGCTATACAGGACAGATCAGAACACTTCGCTCATTCACAGAGACAGACGAGGCTGAGCAGAAACTGGTCATACTGGTCAAAGACAATGGAAACGTTTCCCTCTCTGCAACAGCTACTGTCATTGTCAAAGTTGTGGAGCCCAAAGAGGCTTTTGCTGCTTCTGATGTTAAAAGTGCAACAAACGATGATGAGGAGAGTAATGTCACTTTTTATCTCATGATAACTTTGGCCTCAGTTTCAGCACTTTTTCTCATCAGCATCATCGTGCTCATTGCAATGCAGTGCTCCAAATCCACAGACTACACTTCCAAATATCTACAAGAGACTAATTATGACGGGACACTGTGTCACAGCATCCAGTACAGATCTGGAGACAAACGCTACATGTTAGTGGGACCCAGAATGAGTATAGGATCTACTATAGTCCCGGGCAGCCATGCTAACACACTAGTGCTCCCTGACAGGAGGAGAACATCTACTGAGGTAAGAATTTCAAGAAAGATTAAATCCTTATTTCTTTTAATTAATTTAAGTCATTTTTTTTACATATGTATTTGATCGAAAATCTTAAATACAACTTGGTAATGTTGTTGCATTTATCTACGGACACGAATGTGTTTGATTTGGTTCTTTCATTGTCTAATTTATCATACAACGTGTTTGTAAATATAGGAAGACATGTGAAAATTAAAATATTTCTGACAAAATGGCAAGGATAGCTTACATGCACACTGTGGAATCCTCTCGTCCTACTTTAGTATATTGCTCATAGATAAACGCTTTTGATTAAAAGGAAAAAAGTTACATTTAATTTAGAGTTTACCCATTTTAAAGAGGACGGTTCTCTGACTTTGATTGTGCCTGCTTTCCATAGTACTGAAATTAAAATGGTTGTCTTTACAAAAAAACAGATTTATGATTTAAGACTTTTGCTAAGAAATTGGTGGCAGTAAATTCTGAACATGTGTTTCGGACAAGAGCTGTTTGCAACAACATTGTTGTTGTTTTAAAACGGATAAACTGTACTTGTAACAGATGAAGCGTGTTCTGCGACACCTGATTACTGCTGTTGATGGCACTGAAACACAAGAGTTTCAGCAAACAGCGTGAAATAACATTATATTCAAAGATCAGTTAAAGAGTGCCTTGGTGGGTGTCACAAAGAGCGAGAAAGACAAACAGACCGACAGAAAGACAGAATGTAGTGGGTTAAAATGCTAACAGATAACTTTCCACTGTTTTGTGTGGACATTATATATACACTCTTCTTTCTTTTCTGTTCTTACTTCTCTTACAAAAACAATGCAGTCCAGGTATTTCTCAGTTATTACCTCTGGGTGTCACTATTATATTAGATGACATCAGACCAAGTGGTCCCTCCCCTTTCAAAGCTTTTGTTTCCATAGTGAATAGAGCACAGACGGTTTTTGGACTCGAGACAACCAGTCGATGGAATTCATCTTTCCGGTTGAAAATGTGTGGTATTAAGCGTGTTGGACATATTTAATTATATATGGAAGTAGCAGGTTTTAGGGAATATTACTCTTGTTGGATTACGATGGGAATTGACACAAAAACGCGAACAATGGGCTTCTACTGCTTTGCTTTTTATTCGTCTTTACTGCTGCTGTTCGGGACACAGGCTTCAGCTCAGACACGGTACTCTATCCCAGAGGAGCTGAAAGAGGGAAGTGTTGTTGGAAATGTTGCAAAGGATCTTGGTCTTGACACCACCTCTTTGACTGATCGACGGTTCCGTGTTGTGTCTGGCAGTAAGGACGCTATATTTGAAGTCAACCATAATAACGGGGTATTGTATGTTCACCGGCATATTGACAGGGAGGAGCTCTGTGAGGGCACCGGTGCATGTCTCGTGGAGCTCAAAATCCTTGTTGAAAACCCTTTGGAAATACATTACGTTGTCGTAGAAATTACTGACGTTAATGACCATGCTCCTAGTTTCCCAGAAAAAGAACAGACATTTGAAATAGCTGAGCAAACATTACCGGGACGGCGATTTCAACTGGAAACTGCTCGTGATCCAGATGCTGGAATTAACTCTATTCGTACATACACTTTGACTTCAAATGAACATTTTGAAGTAGACATTCGTCAAAGTGACGAAGACAAAATACCATTTTTAGTGCTGAAAAAATCATTAGACAGAGAACAAAATGACAAACACACGCTGCTGCTGACAGCGATAGATGGAGGTAAACCTCAAAAATCAGGAACATTAAATGTTACTATTATTGTTCTTGACAGTAATGACAACCGTCCAATGTTTAGTCAGGAGATTTACCAAATTGAAATACAAGAAAATTTAGCAATTGGTACTTCAATATTTAGAATGAATGCAACAGATCCAGATGAAGGGACGAATGGGGAAGTCGAATATAGCTTTGGTAAAAGCTTGAGGCGAAAAATAAATTTTAATTTTGAATTGGATAAATTAACTGGGGAGATTAGAGTAAAGGGATTGGTGGACTTTGAAGAAAACGACGTCTATAAAGTCGATGTTGATGCATCTGATAAAGCTTCACCACCATTAACGGGTGAGTGCCGGCTAATTATAAAGATTAAGGACATCAATGATAATCCACCTGAAATAGAAGTCACTTCACTGTCAAACACAATTTCTGAAGATTCAAAACCTGGAACAATTATTTCATTGCTTAGCGTGACAGATAAGGACGCTGGAGTCAATGGAAAAACTATCTTACAAATCTCTAATGAAGTACCTTTCGAGTTAAAACCTTCTTTTAAAGAGAATGTATACTCAGTTGTCACTAAGGGACTTCTGGATCGAGAGCAGGTTCCAAGTTATGAAATAACAATAAGAGCCACTGATTGTGGTGAGCCTCCATTATCTTCTTTTAAAACTCTCAGTATTCAGATATCAGATGTAAATGACAACAGTCCACATTTTGAACAAAACCCTTTACAGTTTTATCTGGTAGAAAATAACGTTGCTGGAGCTTCAATATTCTCTGTGAGCGCAACAGACAATGACATAAATGACAATGCAGCTATTTCATATCATATTGTGAGAGAGGGAAGTCAAAATGGTATGACATCATTTATTAATGTAAACTCTGAAAACGGACACATAACCGCGCTGAAAAGTTTCGACTTTGAAACAGTGAAAACGTTCCAGTTCCAAGTTGTGGCCACAGATTCTGGAACTCCGTCACTAAGCAGCAACGTCACAGTGAACGTGTTCATTCTGGATCAGAACGACAACGCTCCAGTCATCCTGTATCCAGTCAGCTCCAACGGTTCTGCTGAAGGTGTGGAGGAGATTCCCCGCAATGTGAACGCAGCACACTTGGTGACTAAAGTCAGAGCCTATGACGCTGATATAGGATATAACGGCTGGTTACTGTTTTCACTGCAGGAAGTGACTGAGCACAGTCTCTTTGCTTTGGACCGCTATACAGGACAGATCAGAACACTTCGCTCATTCACAGAGACAGACGAGGCTGAGCAGAAACTGGTCATACTGGTCAAAGACAATGGCAACGTTTCCCTCTCTGCAACAGCTACTGTCATTGTCAAAGTTGTGGAGCCCAAAGAGGCTTTTGCTGCTTCTGATGTTAAAAGTGCAACAAACGATGATGAGGAGAGTAATGTCACTTTTTATCTCATGATAACTTTGGCCTCAGTTTCAGCACTTTTTCTCATCAGCATCATCGTGCTCATTGCAATGCAGTGCTCCAAATCCACAGACTACACTTCCAAATATCTACAAGAGGCTAATTATGACGGGACACTGTGTCACAGCATCCAGTACAGATCTGGAGACAAACGCTACATGTTAGTGGGACCCAGAATGAGTATAGGATCTACTATAGTCCCGGGCAGCCATGCTAACACACTAGTGCTCCCTGACAGGAGGAGAACTTCTACTGAGGTAAGAGCTTGGAAACAATGTAACAAGTATTCATAGACTGTCTTCTCTCTCATTGCTATGTGTTCAATGACACACTTTCTTTCTTTTTTTACAATCTTAACACGCCTCGAGTACACAGACAACAACCGAATAACAAAAAAGTAATTTGTCTATGTCACAAGACATTCTTGCTTCATTTACGCGTCATTATATCGTTGTTTTTTTTGCGATGATGCATGTTTCCTTAGGTTGATGCTCATGTGCCAGTCAGTGATCTTAAACATGATTAGCTTCAATGTATATGACAAATATATTTTGGCCGTGTTTTTTTTATATTTAAACCCCATGAAGCAAAACTTCTGGTCACGATCAAACCACAGCTGTATGTGTGATTGGTACAGGCAAGTAAAGCTGACATTTGTCGTCAAGAATGAGACCTGGAAATTGAACAATGTAGAGCGCTGTCCGTGGTGCTGAACGTAGCTGCTTTTGGTTTTTCGGCAGAAGATAGCCTTAAACAGAACCGTTTTAAAAAACATGAAACCCATTAACCCTACCATTTTAACATCGAGGACCAAACACATTAAATGAGGACATTGTTAACACATTATTTTAGCTAAAAATGTAAAACCCTTACAGGTGATTGGATGCTGAAATCGCAATGGTAGTAAGGGCTCTATTACATATATTCACTTTGAAGATAGCAGGAAAGCCTTCTACTTGCACATTGACCTCTGGGTGGCAGTATTACATTGGGAAACATCATGAAACGTTGTCCCTCCCCTTCACATATCTTTTGTTTGCTCCATGAAAAAGCAAAGGAGACATTTGAAACGTGCTCGCCAACTGATGAAATCGTGTTGTGCTTTTTGTCACTGTGCGACACACAATGGGTTTGATATAGACATTTATAAAGGAACGGACTTCTTTGTTTGAATGTGCTGCGGATAACGATGGAAATGGAAAGACAGTATCGAGGAAAGCTCTGCTCGCGGTTTGCTCTATGTTTGTTTCTTCTGTTGTTGGTTGGAAATCGGGCTTCTGGAGAAATACGATATTCTATTCCAGAGGAGGTGAATGAGGGAACTGTTGTTGGAAATGTCGCGAAGGATCTTGGACTGGATATCACCTCTTTGTTTAATCGACGGTTCCGTGTTGTTTCTGAATCTAAGGATGCATTTTTTGAGGTAAACCGGGACAATGGTGCTCTCTATGTCCATAGGAAAATCGACAGAGAGGAGCTCTGTCAGGGTAGCGGTGCTTGCACAATTGAGTTAAAAGTCATAGTCGAAAACCCTTTAGAAATACACTACATAGTGGTAGAGATTACTGACGTTAACGATCACACTCCTAGTTTTCCTGAAAAAGAACAGACTTTTGAAATAGCTGAGCATACACTGCCAGGAAAACGATTTCAATTACACACAGCTCGTGATCCAGATGCTGGATCTATCTCTATTCGTACATACACTTTGACTCCAAATGAACACTTTGAAGTAGACATCCGTCAAAGTGACGAAGATAAAATACCGTTTTTAGTGCTGAAGAAATCATTAGACAGAGAGAAAAACGACAAACACACGCTGCTGCTGACAGCGATAGATGGCGGTAAACCTCAAAAATCAGGAACATTAAATGTTACTATTATTGTTCTTGATATTAATGATAACCGTCCAATGTTTAGTCAGGAGATTTACCAAATTGAAATACAGGAAAACGTTGAAATCGGCACATCCGTATTTAAAATACATGCCAAAGATCCAGATGAAGGGACTAATGGGATAGTTGAATATAGTCTTGGAAAAACGCTTAAGAAAAAAGTCTATGACATTTTTGAATTGGACAAGATAACTGGGGAGATTCACGTTAAAGGGGTTGTGGATTATGAAGAGAACGACGTTTATAAACTTGATGTTGAGGCATCCGATAAAGGAACACCTCCACTGGTAGGTGAGTGTAGAGTCATTATAAAAATTAAAGATATCAATGATAATCCACCTGAAATAGAAGTCACGTCACTGTCAAATACAGTGTCTGAAGATTCAAAACCTGGAACAATTGTTTCTCTAATCAGAGTGAAAGATAAAGACTCTGGTGTTAATGGCAAAATGATTTCAAGTATAACCTCAGACGTGCCTTTTGAATTGAAGCCCTCCTACAAAGAAAACACTTACTCAGTTGTCACTAAGGGGCATTTGGATCGAGAGCAGGTGTCACATTATGAAATAACAATAAAAGCCACTGATTGTGGTGAGCCTCCCTTATCTTCTTTTAAAACTCTCAGTATTCAGATATCAGATGTGAATGACAACAGTCCACATTTTGAACAAAACCCTTTACAGTTTTATCTGGTAGAAAATAACGTTGCTGGAGCTTCAATATTTTCTGTGAGCGCAACAGACAATGACATAAATGACAATGCAGCTATTTCATATCATATTGTGAGAGAGGGAAGTCAAAATGACATTACATCCTTTATTAATGTAAACTCTGAAAACGGACACATAACCGCGCTGAAAAGTTTCGACTTTGAAACAGTGAAAACGTTCCAGTTCCAAGTTGTGGCCACAGATTCTGGAACTCCGTCACTAAGCAGCAACGTCACAGTGAACGTGTTCATTCTGGATCAGAACGACAACGCTCCAGTCATCCTGTATCCAGTCAGCTCCAACGGTTCTGCTGAAGGTGTGGAGGAGATTCCCCGCAATGTGAACGCAGCACACTTGGTGACTAAAGTCAGAGCCTATGACGCTGATATAGGATATAACGGCTGGTTACTGTTTTCACTGCAGGAAGTGACTGAGCACAGTCTCTTTGCTTTGGACCGCTATACAGGACAGATCAGAACACTTCGCTCATTCACAGAGACAGACGAGGCTGAGCAGAAACTGGTCATACTGGTCAAAGACAATGGCAACGTTTCCCTCTCTGCAACAGCTACTGTCATTGTCAAAGTTGTGGAGCCCAAAGAGGCTTTTGCTGCTTCTGATGTTAAAAGTGCAACAAACGATGATGAGGAGAGTAATGTGACTTTTTATCTCATGATAACTTTGGCCTCAGTTTCAGCACTTTTTCTCATCAGCATCATCATGCTCATTGCAATGCAGTGCTCCAAATCCACAGACTACACTTCCAAATATCTACAAGAGACTAATTATGACGGGACACTGTGTCACAGCATCCAGTACAGATCTGGAGACAAACGCTACATGTTAGTGGGACCCAGAATGAGTATAGGATCTACTATAGTCCCGGGCAGCCATGCTAACACACTAGTGCTCCCTGACAGGAGGAGGACTTCTACAGAGGTAAGAGCGTCTACACATACAGAACAAGGGTCTTGTTTTCTGTCAAGATTAATATTGCAAGATTTATTGTTTCATGGTTTTTGGTTTCTTCTTCAGTACGTCTAAACTATCTTGAGAAATTGTTTAGACAGTCGCTTTGATGCCCTGTGCTTTCAAAACACAAATGCCAGTTTGTGGGCTTTCTATATTGGCGGATTTCATTTTTCTTCATGCCAGGACTCCAAGTTTGAAGCACATTTTCTCCCACTTCCTTTCATCCACAGACTATCATCACTATCACACCTTTCAGTAAATGTAAACCTCACAAATGTTGGTAGATAGCGTACTTTTAAGAAACAAATTATGAATCTCTCAAAGTGAGAGTATAACAAGTAAGTGTCATATCCCCTTATATTGGGAACATGCGGGCAACGAGTTGTTAATCATAATTCTATATAGATTATGACGATAAGGCGGATGAGACTGCGGGTCTATTTTATATCGCTGTCCAATGGTGCTGAAACGCGCTAACGTATTGTTTTCAAGCAGGAATACTAGTAAAGCTATACAGTCATAGTTAATGAGTTCATGTGTTTTCAGTTGCTTTTCATTTAAACTGTCTATTTGAGTATTTTAGGTGCATTGGAAGCGAGGCGCACAGCTTTAAGATATAAGCTATAAGATGACAAAAATAACATAGATTTGACTTCCAAAGTGCTGTTTATGTTTTGAGTTGTTTATGGAGTGCCCCTACAAGGGACGAGTCTTGGTCATGAAGTCACTGTCCATTGTGCTGAAAACAAAAAGCGTGGGGAGTGTGTTTGATAAAGCCACGATCAAAGTAGCCAATGTGCACCATATGTGCCTACGTTTCTTGATGGAAATGAGGGAATGCCTTTTTTGTGGAGGAAACTATCTGGAATGTGATCACTTGGTGTCACTATGCGAGCAGAAAAGAGTTTAAAGAGACGCCTTTGTCTGAGATTAGGGTCCTCCCCATTGTGGGCATGGATTTCATATTTCAGGACTGGGTGCATCCCTTGCTCTCACTGCAACGATTTTAAATCCACAAATAGGATAACATTCAAGAAACAGCACACTTTATTGAACATAGAGTACGTTTTTTGTATTTGATGAGGTCGTTATCCTAAGACATGGATATTCATTTTCATCTTTTTGCTCTGGAGCAAAAAAGACCTGGACCATCGCGAGAGCAATGGCGGTGGGTCGCTTTCATTGTTTTATCAGGTTTGCTTTGGAGCACAGTTTCCGCGCAAATAAGATACTCCATCCCCGAGGAAGTTGAAAAAGGAACCGCTGTTGGGAATATAGCAAAGGATTTGGGGTTAGAGAAAAGCACACTGAAAGAAAGAGGATGTCGTGTTGTGGAGGGTTCAACGGAGTCATTCTTTCATGTAAACCAGAACGACGGATTATTGTATGTTGACCGTGTAATTGACAAAGAGAAGGTTTGTGAGAGGAATAGTGTGTGCTTAATAAATCTGAAAACCGTGCTGGAAAACCCTCTTGAAATTCATTATGTGACTGTAGAGGTGCTGGACGTGAATGACCACTTTCCCACCTTCAACACCAAAGAGTCACGTCTCGAAATTTCAGAGTCTGTTCTCCCAGGCTTGCGTCTCCAGCTGCCAGCAGCACACGATTCTGATGTCGGTCAATTTTCTGTCCAGGAGTACAAACTTAGTTCAAATGATCATTTCCGTTTGGAAGTCAAAGATCGGGGAAAAGATGGAAAAATACCGATATTAGTTTTATTAAAAACGCTAGACAGGGAAACAAAGAAAAGTCATAAGCTGCTACTAACAGCCATTGACGGAGGAAAACCAAGTAAGTCCGGAACAGCTGAAATAATTGTTGACGTCTTAGACGTTAATGATAATATGCCAGTATTTAACGAAGACACTTACTCGGTTCTTTTGGAAGAAAATGCTCCTATTGATACAACAATTATAAAAGTAAATGCTTCTGATTTAGATGAAGGTTCCAATGGCGAGGTTATCTATTCATTAGGCAAGAATGTGAACAGCAGAATACGCGAACTTTTTCGTATAGATCCAATAACAGGAGAAATTATTGTTCGCGGACTGATAGACTTTGAATTAGAGGAAAGTTATGAAATTGATATACAAGCGTCTGATAAGGGATCTGCTCCTTTGAGGACGGATAAAAGTGTGTTGGTGAATATTGTGGATTTAAATGACAACATCCCTCGTATAGAGATTACATCGTTTTCGAAGGCAATACCAGAGGATGCTAGACTGGGAACCACTGTGGCATTAATAAGTGTCCATGATAAGACTCTGGTCTTAATGGGAAAGTTATTTGTTCATTCGATAAAGATGTTCCATTCACACTATCACCTTCTACACATGACAACATGTATTCTATAGTCACAAAATCGCTCCTAGATAGAGAAAAACAGTCCAAATATGATGTAACAATTGTAGCAAAAGATGCAGGTGTGCCATCGTTGTCTTCTGAAAGAAGTATTAGTATTATTGTATCGGATGTAAATGATAACAATCCAAAGTTTTCAGCAAGCCCTTACACATTTTATGTTACTGAGAATAACTCTCCGGGAGCTACAGTGTTTTCGGTGGAGGCATCTGACCTCGACGAAGGAGATAATTCTCGTATTTTTTACAATATTTTAAGAAATGGAAAAGAGAATAACAACAATCATGCATTCAATCTCAACATCAACTCTGAAAACGGAGATATATTGGCTCTGAAAAGTTTCGACTTTGAAACAGTGAAAACGTTCCAGTTCCAAGTTGTGGCCACAGATTCTGGAACTCCGTCACTAAGCAGCAACGTCACAGTGAACGTGTTCATTCTGGATCAGAACGACAACGCTCCAGTCATCCTGTATCCAGTCAGCTCCAACGGTTCTGCTGAAGGTGTGGAGGAGATTCCCCGCAATGTGAACGCAGCACACTTGGTGACTAAAGTCAGAGCCTATGACGCTGATATAGGATATAACGGCTGGTTACTGTTTTCACTGCAGGAAGTGACTGAGCACAGTCTCTTTGCTTTGGACCGCTATACAGGACAGATCAGAACACTTCGCTCATTCACAGAGACAGATGAGGCTGAGCAGAAACTGGTCATACTGGTCAAAGACAATGGAAACGTTTCCCTCTCTGCAACAGCTACTGTCATTGTCAAAGTTGTGGAGCCCAAAGAGGCTTTTGCTGCTTCTGATGTTAAAAGTGCAACAAACGATGATGAGGAGAGTAATGTGACTTTTTATCTCATGATAACTTTGGCCTCAGTTTCAGCACTTTTTCTCATCAGCATCATCGTGCTCATTGCAATGCAGTGCTCCAAATCAACAGACTACACTTCCAAATATCTACAAGAGACTAATTATGACGGGACACTGTGTCACAGCATCCAGTACAGAGCTGGAGACAAACGCTACATGTTAGTGGGACCCAGAATGAGTATAGGATCTACTATAGTCCCGGGCAGCCATGCTAACACACTAGTGCTCCCTGACAGGAGGAGGACTTCTACTGAGGTAAGAGCTTTAACACGGAGTTACATATATGTTTTTGCTGTTGTTCAGGTGTGTATCACACTGTTTGCAGTTTGAGGTTATATGTTTCTTATTCGGAATGTTTCAACTATAGCTTCAGGAAAATTTGTATGGTGTTTTCTTTTTTCAAAAGAACAGATTTCACTTCGCTTTCCATATATTTTTTCTTATTCTTCTTCTGTGTGCAAACGCTGCTGAGTTATGCACAACGTTCTCTCAGCTCTTCTGCAGTTACACCCAAACTATTTCCTGAGTCGTTATGAACCGGTGTGTGTGTATGCCGTTTAGAAAAATAATATATTTTCCCAGTGGGAGAATAGAACAAGTCAATGTCATACCAGCTTCTGTTTGATAAAGATTGTCATAGATATTTTGTCAATGGCCATTTTGATTGTAATGATATTATGAAAAAAAGGACAAGTTATTTTTTTTCATAATATCATTACAATCAAAATGGCCAAACTTGTTGTATTTTTAGTTCAACCAAAAGCCACTTTACTTTGGCATATCAATCAAAAGACAAAGTATGACGAAAAGTCTGCGTCGAAGGTTGAAATAGCTATCCATGGTGCTGAAATGCCTTGACTCTTTTCGGACAGAAATAAAAACAAAGCTGAATACACGGCAACGGAAGGTAAATATGCGCTTTTCTAGATTGAAAAGGGAAATACTTCCCTTGATTGTAACTGCTTTTGGGGCACATAGGGGCAGACGGTTTTGTCAGAGCATTATTAAATGTGATCAACTTCCTAGTTGATAATGTTGTCGGTCTGAATACCACGATAGTGCCAAAGGTTTAATAACCTAGGAGACAAATGATGTGGATGGGACAGAAAAGAGGCCACGGCACTGTTTGAATCGGTATTCATGGTGGTGAAGTTCCATAGCTGTTTTCAAGCAGACTGAAAGCAAAGCAGAACATGAACTTATTTTTGAATTGTTTAGTATTTGTAATTTTATTTAAATGGTAAATTACAAGTAACCTTTCTTAGCATATATATACAATTGTTTTCATATTTAGAAGAGTGAAAAAGTAACGTGGTACTATGTATGAGTCATGCCTATAGAATTGTGTATTAGGTATCGTGTTTTTTCACAGCCTGCGTTATCTCCGCTTCTTTTGTGATATCGTCAGGTGTGATTTCTGATTAAGGTGTATATATATTCGTTATATATTTATATATGACTTTTAATCAAATAAGGCATGTATATAGTCCACTTGGTGTCACTGTTACACCATTAGGGCCATCGCAGATTGTGTCCCTCCCCTTATAAAGCTTTTGTTCGCTTCTTCGCAGCAGAGGAAACGCTTGAATTGAACATGCGAGCCGAATGACATCGTTTGGTTGAGATGTATAGAAATATGATGCTAAACAGGTCGGATATTTGACTTGTTGCAGAGACGCGATCTTTTGTGTTAAAATAGCGCTGGATCACGATGGGGAGACAAAGGCGATCTAAATCACAGAGCTACGTTTGGTTTATCTTTCATTTTTCATTACTGCTGGTCGTTGGAAAACCGGCGTTGGCTGAATTGAGGTACTCTATACCAGAGGAGATGAAAGAAGGAACCCTTGTTGGAAATGTTGCAAAGGATCTTGGTTTGGACAAAGCATCGTTAGTCGATCGACGTTTCCGTGTTGTTTCTGGATCTAAGGACGCTTTTTTCGAGGTTAACCCGGACAATGGAGCCTTACAGATCAGTAAGAAAATCGACAGAGAGGAGCTGTGTGAAGGAAATGGTGCATGCTTAATGGAGCTGAAAATTCTTGTTGAAAACCCGTTAGAAATCCACTATGTAGCTGTAGAAGTTACTGATGTAAATGATCACGCCCCAAGTTTTCCTGAGAAGGTACAGCAGTTAAATATAGCTGAACATGCACCTTCGGGAACGCGGTTCCAGCTACACGCTGCGCGTGATCCCGATGCTGGGAGTAACTCTATCCGCACTTATACATTAACCACAAATAATCACTTTGACATAGAAATAAGTCAAAGCGACGAGGAAAAACTTCCATTTTTAGTGCTGAAGAAATCTTTAGACAGAGAACAAAAGAAAGAACACTTGCTAATTGTAACAGCTGTTGATGGGGGTAAACCTCAAAGATCAGGAACTTTAAATGTTTCTATCATTGTTCTAGATAGTAATGATAACCGTCCAACGTTTAGTCAGGATACTTATCAGATAGAGATATATGAAAACGTCTCAGTTGGTACTACTGTAACAAGAGTGAATGCAACTGATCAAGATGAAGGGGCCAATGGGGAAATAGAGTACAGACTCAGTAAAGCATTAGCACGAAAAGTTTACGAGATCTTTGAACTGGATAGTTCAAGTGGAATAATTAAGTTGAAAGGAGCACTGGACTTTGAGGGAACTGAGATTTATAAAATAGATATTGAGGCGTCGGACAAAGGGACTCCTCCGTTAACAAGCCGGTGTAGAGTCGTTATTAAAATAAAAGACATCAATGATAATCCTCCAGAAATAGAAGTCACATCACTGTCAAATACAGTGTCTGAAGATTCAAAACCTGGAACAATTATTGCACTTATAAGCGTGATGGATAAAGACTCTGGTGTTGATGGAAAGATAATTTCAACCATAAACAACGACGTACCTTTTGAATTAAAACCTTCATACAAAGAAAACACTTACTCAGTTGTCACCAAGGGACTTTTGGATCGAGAGCAGGTGTCACATTATGAAATAACAATAAAAGCCACTGATTGTGGTGACCCTCCCTTTTCCACTTTTAAAACTCTCAGTATTCAGATATCAGATGTGAATGACAACAGTCCACATTTTGAACAAAACCCTTTACAGTTTTATCTGGTAGAAAATAACGTTGCTGGAGCTTCAATATTTCTGTGAGCGCAACAGACAATGACATAAATGACAATGCAGCTATTTCATATCATATTGTGAGGGAAGGAAGTCAAAATGAAGTCATGGCTTTTCTCAATATAAACTCTGAAAACGGACAAAACTGCGCTGAAAAGTTTCGACTTTGAAACAGTGAAAACGTTCCAGTTCCAAGTTGTGGCCACAGATTCTGGAACTCCGTCACTAAGCAGCAACGTCACAGTGAACGTGTTCATTCTGGATCAGAACGACAACGCTCCAGTCATCCTGTATCCAGTCAGCTCCAACGGTTCTGCTGAAGGTGTGGAGGAGATTCCCCGCAATGTGAACGCAGCACACTTGGTGACTAAAGTCAGAGCCTATGACGCTGATATAGGATATAACGGCTGGTTACTGTTTTCACTGCAGGAAGTGACTGAGCACAGTCTCTTTGCTTTGGACCGCTATACAGGACAGATCAGAACACTTCGCTCATTCACAGAGACAGACGAGGCTGAGCAGAAACTGGTCATACTGGTCAAAGACAATGGAAACGTTTCCCTCTCTGCAACAGCTACTGTCATTGTCAAAGTTGTGGAGCCCAAAGAGGCTTTTGCTGCTTCTGATGTTAAAAGTGCAACAAACGATGATGAGGAGAGTAATGTGACTTTTTATCTCATGATAACTTTGGCCTCAGTTTCAGCACTTTTTCTCATCAGCATCATCGTGCTCATTGCAATGCAGTGCTCCAAATCCACAGACTACACTTCCAAATATCTACAAGAGACTAATTATGACGGGACACTGTGTCACAGCATCCAGTACAGATCTGGAGACAAACGCTACATGTTAGTGGGACCCAGAATGAGTATAGGATCTACTATAGTCCCGGGCAGCCATGCTAACACACTAGTGCTCCCTGACAGGAGGAGGACTTCTACTGAGGTAAGACTTTCCCAAGTTGCAAAGGTGTTGTTTTCTGTCAAGACTTGTGTAGCACAATTTGTGTAATTGATTATTTGTGGTGTCTTATTCAGCGTGTTACTTAAGCCAGAAGGTCTGGGTTTCATGGATTACTATAATGTTGCTCTCAGCTTCCTGCTGCTGTTCAGTGCTCATTTTTCTATTTGGTCCTGTCATCAGCCTCTTCAATACACTTCATTGGTTTAAATTAACACTTTTGTTTTCCAAAACACATCGCAAAGTAATGCCACTGTCTCCCTCTGTGAGAGGGACAGCCGGACTTGATTGATGCCCGTTTTTTGGCAAAATATGGGCAAACAGTTTGACAAACGAACAACAATAATTCCAATATAATGATTAAAATATCTGCTTATAGTCTGATATAATGTTGGTTGTGCTGTTGTTAGATTGTTGGTTGGATAACTAAGGAGACAATAGTTTGACTAAGAAAGTGCAGCTGGTCTGTTTGGAATCGCTATCCATGGTGCTGAAGTTCACCCACTCAACTGTGAAGGAGAAAAAGTAAACTTAAACTCACAACACATGTTTAGTTTTGTTAATTTTATTGATTTTGAAGCATAGACATGTTAATTAGATCATTGTTGAGAAAAATGACTAAGCAGGGATTCTCAAAGAAAATAAATACGCATTTTCCCCAGCTACATTTCATTTGTATTGTCACTTTGAGGTTTTAACGATTTAGCTTCTTGTGAATATTTGTCTTGATGTTAGTTATAGTTTTATGATGTGTCGAAGAGAGACAGAAACCTAAAGATACAAGAATGTTCGGGTAAGGTAGCTATCGCACATACTTCCCCCTGATAATATAATGCACAAGGCTTTGCTTCTGTTGTGATATCGAAAGATGGATTTTCTAAGCAAAGTATACACTTATTTTATCCACCTGGTGTCACTGTAACATCAATAAGGCCATAAAAGGCTTAGTCCCTCCCCTTAAAAAAAAGCTTTTGTTCGGTTCTTCAGAGGAGAGGACACATTTGATTGAACATGCGAGTGGAACAACACCGTTATTAGGATTTCACGATGCTAAGCGGGTCGGATATGTCAGTCTGATTTGTTGCAGGAAAAGGATCCTTTGAGTGTTTCAGTTCTTGGTTGACGATGGGGAACGAAAGAAGATCTCGATCAAGCTACCGATGTTGCTTTGCCTTCCTTTTTTCCGTACTGCTGACCTTTGGAAAACAGGCTTTGGCTGAATTGAGGTACTCGATTCCAGAGGAGATGAAAGAAGGAACCCTTGTTGGAAACGTTGCCAAAGATCTAGGTCTGGACAAATCCTCGTTGATTGATCGGCGGTTTCGTGTTGTGTCTGCATCTGAGAATACTTTTTTCGAGGTTAACCCGGACAATGGAGCCTTACATATCAGTAGGAAAATAGACAGAGAGGAGCTGTGCGAGGGAAGTGGTGCATGTTTTATGGAGCTGAAAATCGTTGCTGAAAACCCGTTGGAAATTCACTATGTAGTTGTTGAAATTACTGATGTAAATGATCACTCCCCCAGATTTACTGAAGCAGAACAGAGATTTGAAATAGCAGAACATGCATCTGCAGGATCGCGATACGAACTGCATGCGGCTCATGACCCTGATGCTGGAATTAACTCAATACGCACATACACAATAACGTCGAATGATCACTTTGAAATAGAAATAAGTCAAAGCGATGAGGACAAAATGCCATTTTTAGTGCTGAAGAAACCTTTAGACAGAGAACAAAAGAAAGAACACTTGCTAATTGTAACAGCTGTTGATGGGGGCAAACCTCAAAGATCAGGGACTTTAAATGTTTCTATCGTTGTTCTAGATAGTAATGATAACCGTCCAATGTTTAGTCAAGATACATATCAGATAGAAATATATGAAAATACACCTGTTGGCACTAGTGTAACAAGAGTACAGGCAGTTGATCCAGATGAAGGGGCGAATGGGGAGATAGAGTACAGACTCAGTAAAACATTAGCACGAAAAGTTTACGAGATCTTTGAATTGGATAGTTTAAGTGGACAACTACATTTGAAAGGAACTTTGGATTTTGAGGAAACAGAGATTTACAAATTAGATGTTCAGGCGTCTGACAAAGGGACCCCGCCGTTAACAAGCCGGTGTAGAGTTGTTGTGAAGATTAAAGACGTCAATGATAATCCACCACGAATAGAAGTCACTTCCCTTTCGAACACTGTGACTGAAGATTCAAAACCTGGAACAATTGTTGCACTTATAAGCGTGATGGATAAAGACTCTGGTATTAATGGTAAAATCCTCACAACCATTAACAACGACGTGCCTTTTGAACTACAACCTTCATACAAGGAAAATACTTACTCTGTTGTCACCAAGGGACTCTTAGATCGAGAGCAGGTATCATATTTTGAAATAACAATAAAAGCCACTGATTGTGGTGACCCTCCCTTATCTTCTTTTAAAACGCTCAGTATTCAGATATCAGATGTGAATGACAACAGTCCACACTTTGAACAAAACCCTTTACAGTTTTATCTGGTAGAAAATAACGTTGCTGGAGCTTCAATATTCTCTGTGAGCGCAACAGACAATGACATAAATGACAATGCAGCTATTTCATATCAAATTGTGAGGGTAGGAAGTCAAAATGACGTCTTGTCTTTTCTCAATATAAACTCTGAAAACGGACACATAACTGCGCTGAAAAGTTTCGACTTTGAAACAGTGAAAACGTTCCAGTTCCAAGTTGTGGCCACAGATTCTGGAACTCCGTCACTAAGCAGCAACGTCACAGTGAACGTGTTCATTCTGGATCAGAATGACAACGCTCCAGTCATCCTGTATCCAGTCAGCTCCAACGGTTCTGCTGAAGGTGTGGAGGAGATTCCCCGCAATGTGAACGCAGCACACTTGGTGACTAAAGTCAGAGCCTATGACGCTGATATAGGATATAACGGCTGGTTACTGTTTTCACTGCAGGAAGTGACTGAGCACAGTCTCTTTGCTTTGGACCGCTATACAGGACAGATCAGAACACTTCGCTCATTCACAGAGACAGACGAGGCTGAGCAGAAACTGGTCATACTGGTCAAAGACAATGGCAACGTTTCCCTCTCAGCAACAGCTACTGTCATTGTCAAAGTTGTGGAGCCCAAAGAGGCTTTTGCTGCTTCTGATGTTAAAAGTGCAACAAACGATGATGAGGAGAGTAATGTGACTTTTTATCTCATGATAACTTTGGCCTCAGTTTCAGCACTTTTTCTCATCAGCATCATCGTGCTCATTGCAATGCAGTGCTCCAAATCCACAGACTACACTTCCAAATACCTACAAGAGGCTAATTATGACGGGACACTGTGTCACAGCATCCAGTACAGATCTGGAGACAAACGCTACATGTTAGTGGGACCCAGAATGAGTATAGGATCTACTATAGTCCCGGGCAGCCATGCCAACACACTAGTGCTCCCTGACAGGAGGAGAACTTCTACTGAGGTAAGACTTGGTACCTAACAAAGATGCTGTTTTCTGCTCTGTCAATCACATTTTTGGGGGTTTTAGGATGTATGGTCTTATTCACCTGGTAGTTACGATTATTTTAGACAGACGCTTTAGTATCTGCTCTTTTTAATAGAACATTTTAAGTGTGTCACCTTAAAATAATGTTTGCCTCATCCTTTATCTGTGTGCAAAAGTTGCTTAAATAGATACAAAACGTTCTCTGTTCTCATCCAGAGTCTTCATTGTATTTATCCAAACTCTTGCTATGTCGTTATGAACACCTGATGTGTTTTTATATGGCATTCAGATAACAAAAAAAGACCTATTCCTCACAGTGAGAGAAGTTTATCCATATCAGCCTGTTGTTGGGGAAACTTGGGCAATGAGTATTTAACAAAGGCCACCAATTTTTTTCCATAAAATAACAATTAATACCTGCCTTGTCTTAAATCCACTGAATTTTTTCCTGGTAATATTCGTCACTCTACTAGGCATATAAAACAAATATTGACAAAAAGGCTGCTGTAGTGCTAGGAACGGGTATACATGTCATTTATCATATGCTGAGGTATTTATGGATATATTTATGTTGCTGATTTATTGTTTGAAAGGAATATTAGCACCAATAATATTGGGATTAAATTAAATGAATTCACACTCAGTCTAATAAGCAGATGGATAATGTATGATCTTGTTGGTTGCATTCATCAGCGTTGTGCAAAAGGCATAGTCGCCGTTAGGCATAGTTAACCGGGGCGAGAAATGATGTGGTTGAGAGAGATAGGGGGGAAGCTGGTCTGTTTGGGATCAGTCTCCATGGTGCTGAAGTGCACTGGCAGAAATGAAGCAGGCTGAAGCCTACATAATTTCGTTATTAATGGTGTCGTTTTTGTAATTTCGTTCATAATGCAACTTCAAAGTTATCGCTTTCTATCTTTGCCCATCATCACATTTCACCAATATAAACGATATTTCTAGCTGTAGCAAAGAGAAAATGTAACATGACCATAGGAATGTCAGAGTCCTATATCTAACTTTAAGCATTTGTATAATGTCGGTGTTTTTAATAGCGTACTTAATCCCCTCGTCTTTTGTGATATCGTCAGGTGTGATTTCTGATTTAGGTGTACATATTTGTAATGCATTTTCAGGACTTTTAATCATCTTATATATAGTCCACTCGGTGTCACTGTTACACCAATAGGTCCATCGCAGATTGTGTCCCTCCCCTTATAAAGCTTTTGTTCGCTTCTTCACAGCAGAGGATACATTTGACTTGAGTATGCGAGTCGAATGAAATCGCTTGGTTGAGATTTATATAAATACTATGCTAGACGGTTCGGATAAACGAATTTAAGTTGTTGCAGAGACGCGATCTTTTGTGTTAAAATAGCGCTGGATCACGATGGGGAGACAAAGGCGATCTAAATCACAGAGCTACGTTTGGTTTATCTTTCATTTTTTATTATTGCTGATCTATGGAAAGCAGGCTTTGGCTGAATTGAGGTACTCTATACCAGAGGAGATGAAAGAAGGAACCCTTGTTGGAAATGTTGCAAAGGATCTTGGTTTGGACAAAGCATCGTTAGTCGATCGACGTTTCCGTGTTGTTTCTGGATCTAAGGACGCTTTTTTCGAGGTTAACCCGGACAATGGAGCCTTACAGATCAGTAAGAAAATCGACAGAGAGGAGCTGTGTCACGGACATGGTCCATGCGTGATGGAACTAAAAATCCTTGTCGAAAATCCGTTAGAAATGCACCATATTGTTGTTGAAGTTACTGACGTTAATGACCATTCTCCTAGTTTTCCTGAAAATAAACAAACATTTGAAATAGCAGAACATTCATCCCCGGGAATTCGATTCCAGCTACACGCTGCTCGTGATCCCGATGCTGGGAGTAACTCTATTCGTACATATACTTTAACACAAAACGATCACTTCGAAATAGAAATAAGTCAAAGCGATGAGGAAAAAATGCCATTTTTAGTACTGAAGAAATCTTTAGACAGAGAACAAAAGAAAGAACACTTGCTAATTGTAACAGCTGTTGATGGAGGTAAACCTCAAAGATCAGGAACTTCAAATGTTTCTATCATTGTTCTAGATAGTAATGATAACCGTCCAATATTCAGTCAGGATACTTATCAATTAGAAATAAATGAAAATACACCTGTTGGCACTACTGTAACAAGAGTGAATGCAATTGATCCAGATGAAGGGGCCAATGGGGAAATAGAGTACAGACTCAGTAAAACATTAGCACGAAAAGCTTACGAGATCTTTGAACTGGACGGTGCAAGTGGACAATTAAAATTAAAAGGAGAGTTGGATTTTGAGGAAACAGAGAATTATAAACTGGATGTTGAGGCGTCGGACAAAGGAACACCTCCATTAATTGGAAGATGTAGAGTCATTATTAAAATAAAAGACATCAATGATAATCCACCTGAAATAGAAGTCACATCACTGTCAAATACAGTGTCTGAAGATTCAAAACCTGGAACAGTTATTTCTCTTCTGAGTGTGACGGATAAAGACTCCGGAGTCAATGGAAAAATAATTTCAAAGATAAACAACGACGTACCTTTTGACTTAAAACCTTCTTATAAGGAGAACATATATTCAGTTGTCACCAAGGGACTCCTAGATCGAGAGCAGGTGTCATATTTTGAAATAACAATAAAAGCCACTGATTGTGGTGACCCTCCCTTATCTTCTTTTAAAACTCTCAGTATTCAGATATCAGATGTGAATGACAACAGTCCGATTTTTCAACTAAACCCTTTACAGTTTTATCTGGTAGAAAATAACGTCGCTGGAGCTTCAATATTCTCTGTGAGCGCAACAGATTTAGACATAAATGAAAATGCAGCTATTTCATATCATATTGTGAGAGAGGGAAGTCAAAATGGTATGACATCATTTATTAATGTAAACTCTGAAAACGGACACATAACCGCGCTGAAAAGTTTCGACTTTGAAACAGTGAAAACGTTCCAGTTCCAAGTTGTGGCCACAGATTCTGGAACTCCGTCACTAAGCAGCAACGTCACAGTGAACGTGTTCATTCTGGATCAGAACGACAACGCTCCAGTCATCCTGTATCCAGTCAGCTCCAACGGTTCTGCTGAAGGTGTGGAGGAGATTCCCCGCAATGTGAACGCAGCACACTTGGTGACTAAAGTCAGAGCCTATGACGCTGATATAGGATATAACGGCTGGTTACTGTTTTCACTGCAGGAAGTGACTGAGCACAGTCTCTTTGCTTTGGACCGCTATACAGGACAGATCAGAACACTTCGCTCATTCACAGAGACAGACGAGGCGGAGCAGAAACTGGTCATACTGGTCAAAGACAATGGAAACGTTTCCCTCTCTGCAACAGCTACTGTCATTGTCAAAGTTGTGGAGCCCAAAGAGGCTTTTGCTGCTTCTGATGTTAAAAGTGCAACAAACGATGATGAGGAGAGTAATGTCACTTTTTATCTCATGATAACTTTGGCCTCAGTTTCAGCACTTTTTCTCATCAGCATCATCGTGCTCATTGCAATGCAGTGCTCCAAATCCACAGACTACACTTCTAAATATCTACAAGAGACTAATTATGACGGGACACTGTGTCACAGCATCCAGTACAGATCTGGAGACAAACGCTACATGTTAGTGGGACCCAGAATGAGTATAGGATCTACTATAGTCCCGGGCAGCCATGCCAACACACTAGTGCTCCCTGACAGGAGGAGGACTTCTACTGAGGTAGGAAATATCAAAACTATTTTTCAACCTCAATTACGTCTTTAGTCTCGTTCCTACCTCATGTGATGCGTATCTATAAGTTGTTGGAAAGGTTTGTGTTGTAATTAAACTTGGTTGAAAAAAAGAAACCTGGTGGAAGTGGAAATGCATTTACTGAATACAGGAGGAGAACATCTACTGAGATAGGACTGAAATATGTAGCAAATGCGGTTTTTTTCTTTTTTGTCTGCATGTGTATCACATCATCTGTGTTTTAAGGCTTTGAGGGCATAGTGGACGGTTGTGGGTTAGCTATTCATCGCTATCCATGGTGCTGAAATGCACCAACTTACCATTTTCAAGCAGGGTTATGAACTAGGGTAAATGACCAGTGACTGAGTGATATTTTTAAGTTACACTTTATTTATACTGCAACGTTGAAGTATCAGGTATTAAAAAAAAACTCCTTATTCCTTTAATATAATGCATTTATTCATGATGTATTAGTACCAAGGAGCCTAGTTTTCACATTTGTTCATTTATTTATTTACACAAGATGGAAAGATTGACTAAATCGTGACTGTTTCCCTTTTGCTACCCTTTGGATAAGTTGACTGTAGTTCACTGCAGAACATCAGTACGATGAAACAATATTGACAACACAAATAAAACTAAAAGAAACAGATGTATAGGTCACTATTTCCTAAACTATACAACGAGCATAATGGCTTAAACAACCGACATTTTAGCCCCAACCAGACTTTTCCTGTCCGCACAGCTTTAATGATAAATTATATCACTTGTCCTTTTTCTCAGTTACCTCTGATTTTAGTCGTAGTTGACACTGTTCCTCCAGTAAAGAACGACAGGTTTTCAACCTATATACACGTTTTTCAGCCAAACACTGTTATTGTATATAAGTTAATACTAACTTTGGTTTTGAACGCAACAGGTGCTGACTGCAGAATGAGCAGCTCTTATGGTGCTACCAAAGAGTGCTGCTTAGTTACCCTGATCCACAACCAGACACCTGATTGGTTCTCTTTTTTATCAGTCATAAGAACATTATACACTCTCTCGTTGCCTCTTACAAGTGTGTTCGTCGAGTATTTTCATGTTTCATAGTATCAGTGATTAACTTGGTAAAACATTTCAGTTTAAATAATTAACCGTGGGCTCTGTTTCAAAAGTTGTTTAGCCGTTTTCACAAAGTAACGACGGGAGTAGAGGGCGTCGGACACAAACCATTAAAGGGTCACAATTCATCTCCGTTTCCTTGGCGCTCAATAAACGTAATGTATCGTTTTATTTAGCACCACCTGCCTTACTAATTGTAGTGTAATGTGGTGCAAGAGATAATGTCTCCAAGTACAGTTTATTCAATGTATATACACGGCTATCATTGCCTCACCTGCGCCTAATGAGGGGGACTATGTGTGTCCGTTTTTCATCATTGTTTTAAAAGATGATTCTTGGTGCTTGGTCGATCATTCAATACAATTTTTCTAAGGTATAAAATAGAGCATTGCAATCTGACTCTTGATCAGTGGGTGTCAGTATAATAACAACTAATCCTTCAACATGCTTTCGTCATAGCCGCTGGACCCATCCCCTTCATATGTAACCATTACGGACAGGACACTTTGCGTGGAAACAGCGTGAATTCACAGTCAAGCTTTAAAAAAAAATCAAATTCTCTGTTTGAAAACGTTTGGATTATGGCAACGAAGGCGACGGATGGATTTTACTTTGGTTCACGGGCATAGCTCTTTTTAAATGTTTGGAATTTAAACATTTCGTTTTCACATCATGGAACAAAGACGCCAGACACAGAGGGAGCGAGGGAGGTTGGTTGCCTACATCATTGTTTTAGTTACATTTTGGAGCACAGCCTCAGGACAATTCCGATATTCTATTTCTGAGGAAGTAATCGAGGGGACTGTGGTTGGAAATGTCGCTAAAGATTTAGGTCTTGATCGGGCCACACTAAAAGAAAGAGGATACCGTATTGTATACGGCACGACAGAGCCTCCTTTTCGAGTAAATCAAGACAACGGTATCTTATATGTAAACGGAAAGATTGACAGAGAAGAAATCTGCGACCGAAGCAAGGTTTGTGTAATCGACTTAAAAGTGGTCCTAGAAAATCCACTTGAGGTCCACTATGTAGCAGTTGAGATTCTGGATGTGAACGACCACTCACCGAGCTTTCCCGAAAGAGGAAAAAAAATGGAAATTTCTGAATCTGCATTAACAGGAGCAAAATTTCAGTTGCAAGCTGCACGTGATGCCGATAGTGGTTCACTGTCCGTTCAGCAGTATAAGTTAAGCAATAATGAACATTTTCGTTTGGAAGTTAAAGACCGTGGCGAGGACCGTAAAACTCCGAGTTTATTACTTCAAAAGCCGCTTGACAGAGAATCTGCCAAGACCCATGTGTTACTTCTGACGGCCATTGATGGAGGTAAACCTCCGAGGTCTGGAAACATGACTATAATTGTTGATGTACTGGATGTCAATGATAACCCCCCACTGTTCACCCAGGAGGTCTATACCGTGCAGCTGAAAGAAAACTCTCCTCTTGGTACAACTGTTATTCAAGTAAATGCAACCGATTTAGATGAAGGTCCAAATGGTGAGGTTGTATATTCATTTGGCAATGACGTGGACGCACGTGCACGTTCACGTTTTGATTTAAATTCGATTACCGGAGTAATTACTGTGGCAGGCGAAATAGATTTTGAAGACTGTAGCAGATACGAAATAGATATCCAGGCATCCGACAGAGCTGAACATCCACTATCTACGGACAAAAGCGTTGTTATACATATTATCGACGTGAACGATAATGCACCTGAGATTGAAGTGACATCTTTTTCACGTGCCCTCCCAGAAGATTCAAAACCAGGAACCACTGTGGCATTGATATATGTTAAAGATTCGGACTCTGGTCTCAACGGAAAAGTGATGTGTTATCTAAGCCAAGATCTTCCTTTTACGCTTACTCCATCTTTACAAAGTAACATGTATTCTCTAGTAACAAAAGCACTTTTGGATAGAGAACAGCAGGCCCAATATACTGTAACAATTATAAGCAAAGACGCAGGAGAACCATCCCTATCATCGGATAAAACTATAACCATTGATGTGTCAGATAAAAATGATAACAGCCCGGTGTTTTCGCAGAACCCATATACTTTCTACATAACAGAGAATAACAACCCGGGATCGTCTATCTTAGCAGTAACAGCCCGTGATAACGACGAGGGCAGTAATGCTCTTATCTCATATCATATATTACGGTTAAGGGACGGAGAGCAAACGCTGGCCTCGTTTCTGAACGTAAACAGTGAAAATGGAGTCATCACTGCATTGAAAAGTTTCGACTTTGAAACAGTGAAAACGTTCCAGTTCCAAGTTGTGGCCACAGATTCTGGAACTCCGTCACTAAGCAGCAACGTCACAGTGAACGTGTTCATTCTGGATCAGAACGACAACGCTCCAGTCATCCTGTATCCAGTCAGCTCCAACGGTTCTGCTGAAGGTGTGGAGGAGATTCCCCGCAATGTGAACGCAGCACACTTGGTGACTAAAGTCAGAGCCTATGACGCTGATATAGGATATAACGGCTGGTTACTGTTTTCACTGCAGGAAGTGACTGAGCACAGTCTCTTTGCTTTGGACCGCTATACAGGACAGATCAGAACACTTCGCTCATTCACAGAGACAGACGAGGCGGAGCAGAAACTGGTCATACTGGTCAAAGACAATGGCAACGTTTCCCTCTCTGCAACAGCTACTGTCATTGTCAAAGTTGTGGAGCCCAAAGAGGCTTTTGCTGCTTCTGATGTTAAAAGTGCAACAAACGATGATGAGGAGAGTAATGTCACTTTTTATCTCATGATAACTTTGGCCTCAGTTTCAGCACTTTTTCTCATCAGCATCATCGTGCTCATTGCAATGCAGTGCTCCAAATCCACAGACTACACTTCCAAATACCTACAAGAGACTAATTATGACGGGACACTGTGTCACAGCATCCAGTACAGATCTGGAGACAAACGCTACATGTTAGTGGGAACCAGAATGAGTATAGGATCTACTATAGTCCCGGGCAGCCATGCTAACACACTAGTGCTCCCTGACAGGAGGAGGACTTCTACTGAGGTAAGAGAATTGTGTTGATGTTTTGGCTGTCCTAATCCTTGAATATTTATCGCTTTGTATAAAAAAAGTTCGATAAACCTGTCAGTGAAAAAAAAAACACACTTTATCGGTGACTCTCCATCTAAGAAATATAAGTAAAACACCGCCCCCGTTTCTTTTAATAAGCACAACTGTTGCCTACTTTTATACAGTTTGACTGTAAAACTGCATTTATGAAAAGTGAGCCCTTTCTTTTTCATCACTATGGATTTCATTTTAGATTATGTTCTTAAGCATATTGTTATTTTAAATGTTCTTTATGCAAGAGCAATTCCTCCCAGTGGCTCTATATTTTTGGCTGAAATTTGTCTGGAAAGCTCTAGGTTTAAACATCGGCTAAATATTTCCAATGTGGGGATGTCGTGCCTCTGAACATGTTTAGTCTCTCTTAGATACCAAATGTTTACAAACGTCCGTAAGACTAGTACATATCAGATTCAACGCTTGGTGTCAGTGTTGTTTAGTGATTCTGTGCGTCACTTTACATCTTGAGCTTTATTTCGACGGAGCCCTTGCAGTTTATCACACAACATCCTGAGCGTAAGACCGCGAATAGCATCAACGACTGTTGTTGTTCAATAGCGTTTTAAAGGACATTACTTGGAAACATGACGCATTCACAAAGAGCAATATTATAACGGAGCAGACACTGGACGGTTTTTTTTTTTTTATCGGCTTCAAGTCATGGAACAAAGGGGATGCACCGCACGGAGGGAGCGACAGCGGTGGATTGCCGTCTTGGTGGTTTTGGTTGTTCTATGGACCGGAGTCTCTGCACAGATCAGATATTCGATATCTGAAGAGGTTCCGGATGGATCCGTCGTTGGGAATATAGCTAAGGATCTAGGACTAGATAAGGCTGCTCTCAAAGACAGAGGATATCGCATTGTAGCAGGATCAACTGAACCCCTGTTTCAGGTGAATCAAAATGATGGTATTTTGTATGTGAAAAGAAGAATAGACAGGGAGGAGGTGTGCGACCGAAGCAGCCCATGTTTGATCAATCTGAAAACAGTGCTAGAAAACCCACTAGAGATCCACTACGTTGGAGTGGAAATACTAGATATTAACGACCACTCGCCTGTATTTCCAGAGAAAGAGAAAAGGCTCGAGATTTCTGAGTCGGCCTTACCAGGAGCGAGATTTCAACTACAGGCTGCCCGCGACTCCGATGTAGGCCAGTTCTCCATCCAGCAATATAAACTCAGCCATACTGACTATTTTAGGTTAGAAGTGAAGGACAGAGGCGAGGACCGTAAAGTTCCATTTTTAGTTGTGCAGAAGCAGCTCGATAGAGAAACAGCCGGGAGACATAAGCTGCGCCTGACCGCAGTTGATGGAGGTAAACCGGCTAAATCTGGCGCTATAGAAATAACAGTGGACGTACTAGATGTTAATGACAACTCCCCGGTGTTTACCAAAGAGTTATACTCTGCCACACTTAGAGAAAACGTCCCCATTGGCACTGTAGTGATTCAGGTAAATGCAACAGATTTGGACCAGGGTGCAAATGGCGAAATCATATATTCATTTGGTAAGGAAGTTGATCCAAAATTAATGACGTTGTTTAGTGTAGACACAAACACAGGTGAAATCAAAGTAATGGATCATATAGATTTCGAGAAAAGTAAAAGTTACGAGATTGACATTCAGGCATCTGATAAGGGACCAGTTCCGTTAACAACTGACAGAAGTGTTATAATAACTGTCCTTGATGTTAATGATAATGCCCCTGAGATTGAAGTGACATCATTTTCTAGCTCTATCAGAGAGGATTCAAAGATAGGAACTACAGTGGCCCTGATCAGTGTCAGCGACTTAGACTCTGGAATCAATGGTAAAGTCATCTGCACAATCAATGAAGGTGTTCCTTTTACATTATCTCCATCTTTACAAGAAAACATGTACGCTGTCGTAACCAAGTCGCCCTTGGACAGGGAACTTGTTTCCAAATTTGATGTCACAATTATAGCGAAAGACACAGGTGACCCGTCATTCTCATCTAAAAAGACAGTAAGCGTCTTAGTTTCAGATGTAAATGACAACAGTCCAGAGTTTTCATCAATCCCCTATGCATTTTACATCACAGAGAATAACAGCCCAGGAGCCTCAGTATTCTCAGTAAAGGCATTAGATCACGATGAAAATGAAAATGCTTTAATTTCATATCAAATTCTAAGAGAAGAAACCAGGGATAGTACTTTGTCCTCATTTCTAAACATTAATAGTGAAAACGGAGATATTTTGGCGCTGAAAAGTTTCGACTTTGAAACAGTGAAAACGTTCCAGTTCCAAGTTGTGGCCACAGATTCTGGAACTCCGTCACTAAGCAGCAACGTCACAGTGAACGTGTTCATTCTGGATCAGAACGACAACGCTCCAGTCATCCTGTATCCAGTCAGCTCCAACGGTTCTGCTGAAGGTGTGGAGGAGATTCCCCGCAATGTGAACGCAGCACACTTGGTGACTAAAGTCAGAGCCTATGACGCTGATATAGGATATAACGGCTGGTTACTGTTTTCACTGCAGGAAGTGACTGAGCACAGTCTCTTTGCTTTGGACCGCTATACAGGACAGATCAGAACACTTCGCTCATTCACAGAGACAGACGAGGCTGAGCAGAAACTGGTCATACTGGTCAAAGACAATGGCAACGTTTCCCTCTCTGCAACAGCTACTGTTATTGTCAAAGTTGTGGAGCCCAAAGAGGCTTTTGCTGCTTCTGATGTTAAAAGTGCAACAAACGATGATGAGGAGAGTAATGTGACTTTTTATCTCATGATAACTTTAGCCTCAGTTTCAGCACTTTTTCTCATCAGCATCATCGTGCTCATTGCAATGCAGTGCTCCAAATCCACAGACTACACTTCCAAATATCTACAAGAGACTAATTATGACGGGACACTGTGTCACAGCATCCAGTACAGATCTGGAGACAAACGCTACATGTTAGTGGGACCCAGAATGAGTATAGGATCTACTATAGTCCCGGGCAGCCATGCCAACACACTAGTGCTCCCTGACAGGAGGAGGACTTCTACTGAGGTAAGGAACTAAACAAAGCTATTTGACCAAAAATAATTATAATACTAGTATGATCAATGGTTGAAAAAACGAACAATTTCATTTTAGTAAATACAATTTGGATGGAATGTGAAGACAATTTTATGAAATCATTTCAAGAGCCCCTGAGGTTAATGATTTTAAACTTTATGAATTATACATACCTTTCCTCAAAACACTTGGTCTTGCGCATTGGCTTCCTGTTTGCATAATCTCTTTAATCTAAAAGGAATATTTGAAACTTGTTTGAATTGATGTTTTAGAATTAAGGCTTTTTTTTTTTTAAACATTATTTGGATAAACTCATGTCTACCGTGGTCGTCAATCATACGAACAATGTTTTTTAAACTGGCAAAAAGGGTGACACATGCACTTAACCTTCACGCTAAAAGATAGATAGCAAAAGTTGGCAGCTTGGTAAACGTGTTAAAAATAAGCTTGAAATGAATTTATAAAATGGACTTGAGAAAGGCAGATCAGAGCTCTGTCCATGGTCCTGAAGAATCTGTGATTGGCCTGTTTGTTCAAACCACTTGCTGACAGTATTTCAGACTTTTAATTATCACCACTTATCAATAATGAAGGTGTAAACTCACACGTAGTGTGGAATCATCTCAACGTTTTGGAAAGCTTCACTGTATAACTTTATTATAAATATTTTTTTGGTGACAGTTACATCTCTGTCCACCATTTTTGTTTTAAATAAAATCAAAATATTATCTGTAGTATCTCCATAAGGGCTGTTACCTTTTTGATCTTCTGCAATAATAATTTGTATCGCATGGTGTCAGTGTAATACAAAAACGGGGCAGTACACAACTTTGTCATCGCAGCATTTTGGTTCCACCTCTTCATACTCCTCGACGTTGTCGCAGTCGTTCATAAGCTTATTGTTGCTTTTGGAAAATCAGTATTTGTGTTTGTCGTTGTGGGTATTGGATGCATATTTTCAACGCACAGGAGTAGGACTATGATATTATGTCGCAGTTTGTGAGTGCGTAAAGGATTGGTGATGATTTCTGTTTTAACCATGGAACAAAGAAGATACGAGGGAAGAGGGGCGCGAGGACATTTACTCTGCTGCTTGGTTGCTGTCTTTTTGTGGAGCGTGGCCGCAGCGCAAATACGATATTCAGTCTCTGAGGAAGTTAACGAAGGAACTGTGGTTGGAAATATAGCAAAAGACCTGGGATTGGATAAGAGCTCATTGAAAGGCAGGAAGTATCGGATTGTTTCTAGTAATACAGATCCTCTTTTCTACGTGAATCAAAACGATGGTATCCTTTACGTGAGCCGAAAGATTGACAGAGAAGAGGTGTGCGCACAGAGCAGTACGTGTTTGATAAATCTGAAAACTGTGCTAGAAAACCCACTGGAGGTCCATTATATTGAAGTGGAAGTTCTGGATATAAATGATCATTCTCCCAGTTTCCCCGAGAAACAGATAATATTGGAGATTTCAGAGTCCGTTTTGCCCGGAGTCCGTATTCCGCTTAAAGCATCAAGCGATCCAGATGGTGGCCCTTTCTCTGTTCAGCGATATAAACTCAGCCCTAATGATCACTTCCGTTTGGAAGTTAAAGATAAGGGAGAAGACGGTAAAATACCAATATTAATTGTGCAAAAGTCTTTGGATAGGGAGGCAGCGAGAAGCCACTCATTAGTGTTGACGGCACTTGATGGGGGGAAACCTCCGAAATCTGGAAATGTGAATATTCTAGTAAATGTTTTGGATACAAATGATAACGCACCTGTTTTCTCTCAAGATGTTTATTCTGTGATGCTTGATGAAAATGCTCCAGTAGGCACAGCAGTCGCACAAGTGAATGCAACTGATTTAGATGATGGGCTGAACGGAGAAGTGGTTTATTCATTCAGCAACAGTGTCAGTCACAGATTACTTAAAACGTTTGATATTAATCCATCTACAGGTGAGATAACTGTTAAAGGCTTGATAAATTACGAAGAGAAGGACAGGTATGAAATTGAAATTCAAGCATCAGATAAAGGTCTGGCTCCACTAGTGACACAAAAAAGCGTTATAATTAAGATAGTTGACGTGAATGATAATGCACCTGAGATTGAAGTGACGTCATTTTCAAGCTCAATCCCTGAAGATTCCAGACCAGGAACTACAGTTGCTCTTATCAGTGTCAATGACCTGGACTCTGGTCTTAATGGAAAAGTGATTTGTTCCATAAGTGATGATGTGCCGTTCATTTTGTCACCATCACTGAAAGACAAAATGTATTCATTAGTGACCAAATCGCCTCTGGACAGAGAGAAACAGTCACATTATGACCTGACAATAACTGCAAAAGACGCTGGTCAACCTCCATTATCGTCTGAAAAGACAATAAGCGTCGTGGTGTCAGATGTGAATGACAACAGTCCTGAGTTTTCACTCAGTCCTTATACTTTCTATGTGGCTGAAGCTAATGAGCCAGGCACCTCTGTGTTTTCTGTTAAAGCTCATGATCGGGATGAGGATGACAATGCACTTATTACATATCATATTCTCAGAGATGGAAGTGAAGGAAATAAATTGTCTTCATTTTTAAACATCAATAGTGAAAATGGAGTCATCACTGCACTAAAAAGTTTCGACTTTGAAACAGTGAAAACGTTCCAGTTCCAAGTTGTGGCCACAGATTCTGGAACTCCGTCACTAAGCAGCAACGTCACAGTGAACGTGTTCATTCTGGATCAGAACGACAACGCTCCAGTCATCCTGTATCCAGTCAGCTCCAACGGTTCTGCTGAAGGTGTGGAGGAAATTCCCCGCAATGTGAACGCAGCACACTTGGTGACTAAAGTCAGAGCCTATGACGCTGATATAGGATATAACGGCTGGTTACTGTTTTCACTGCAGGAAGTGACTGAGCACAGTCTCTTTGCTTTGGACCGCTATACAGGACAGATCAGAACACTTCGCTCATTCACAGAGACAGATGAGGCTGAGCAGAAACTGGTCATACTGGTCAAAGACAATGGAAACGTTTCCCTCTCTGCAACAGCTACTGTCATTGTCAAAGTTGTGGAGCCCAAAGAGGCTTTTGCTGCTTCTGATGTTAAAAGTGCAACAAACGATGATGAGGAGAGTAATGTCACTTTTTATCTCATGATAACTTTGGCCTCAGTTTCAGCACTTTTTCTCATCAGCATCATCGTGCTCATTGCAATGCAGTGCTCCAAATCCACAGACTACACTTCCAAATATCTACAAGAGACTAATTATGACGGGACACTGTGTCACAGCATCCAGTACAGATCTGGAGAGAAACGCTACATGTTAGTGGGACCCAGAATGAGTATAGGATCTACTATAGTCCCGGGGAGCCATGCCAACACACTAGTGCTCCCTGACAGGAGGAGGACATCTACTGAGGTAGGCATATTAAAACACACTTTGATATATAACAACCACTATCTTTAAATGTGTCATACTAGTTTTATGTCAGATAAGGTTAGAATTGCTTTGATTTAGCAATTTCACTCTACCCTTTTAAGTCTGTGTTTTATCTTATGTAGAGAGTGTGTATTGAAGTTGTTGGAAGCTTTTGCCTTTCAGGGGAACTTTGTTGACAATAAAGAAAGCTTGTGGTCATGCAGGAACTGCATACTGAATAAAACTCAATAATTCAGGTACATATAGCAAGCACATTTTGAGCAGGAGGGAAGTTTAGGGACAATTGTGCCTTGTTTGTTGGCTCGGCTGTTTTGTTTGTTTGCTCCTTAACACACTAAGAATGAACAAAGCTTTGAAGAGGTTGTTGTATTGTGTTTTCAATTATTAGCAATGAACTAGTTGACAGTTATTTCCTTTAATATTGCAGTTCAGATCCGTTTTGTTGTTGTTATTAAAAACAAGTATCTTTTAGAGGTAAATCTGGATATGACACTGAAAGTGAAGTAATATTTTATTAGTCACCGTGTTAACACCTTACATTACCACAAGGTTCTATTTTGCCGATAATGGGGTAGAAGTTTGATCCCAAAACTTGTAGAACACATGAAAACATTATTAAAGTTAAAACAATGTAACAGCTTAGTATTAATAATGGCTGAAACTTCGGCATGGAAGTTTGAAATGTATGCAACAGTATAACATGTAGCCAAAGACAATGGATTACCAAGGTGAAGGGGGGCAATTTAAATATGTAGTATGCCAAAAATATTGAAAAAAAGTAGAATAATAATTTGATTAATGTATGGCATCTTGTTTATGAAAGCTATACCAGTGACACGATGATGTTGACATTATGTGGGTAATAACCTGTCTTCAAAAAAAGATGCAAAACGTATTTTCTTTGTTTTCTTTGTCTTTTATGATTTTTTCTGCTATGAAATACTTCAAACTTTTTTTTAATTGTACTTTTATTCTATGAACGATATTTAGAAAAAAAGGCATACACTTGTACCGAGCTCAGTTATTGTTTGCTCGTGGTATTACGTCAGAGGAGTATTTTTTTTCCAAATAAAAGGAGCAGCATAACGCTAGATATACAGACAACACAAGAAGTAAAGTCTGGCCTATCGACTCGTATAGGGTGTCATCGAAAAAGAAACCATGGTTTATGGTCCATTGCTGTTAATAACATCAGAAATGCTATTATAATATTTTCACCAGTAAAAGCTACACACAACTGCAGTCACTGGTCGCTGTCCACGGTGCTGAAATGTTTGATATTGTTTCACCGCAAAGTTGTTGAATAAATATAGCTATTCTCCCCCCACCCCTCCTCGACATTTATCTGAGTGAGGAGATTAAAAAAACGTATATGAAAAACAAATGGTCGCCACTGCTCTGAAGAAACCTGTAAATACATTGAAATGCAAAGTTTCTTATTATCTGTAATGGAAATTTGACTAATCTTTGTAATGAGGAGGTTTCCACAATCGTTTCTCTTTCTTTACCATAGTTTACGTTTGTTCTTTGATACGCCGTTGTTACGACTTATTTTACCATTCATACACTTTGCGACAGACTGTTCGACATTTTTTTGCAGTAAGACTTCAGCTCGCATGGTGTCAGTGTAATGTAAAGAGTCAGCATTGCTCAAGCTTGTTGTGTCGTCATTGGATAAAGGTTCCACCTCCTGACAACATCCTGGCTTACACGTTAGCACTGAATTTTCTGCGCTTAGTCTTGTCTTTGTTAACATCCTGACTGCCAGATTTACTAAATGGTTTAAGGCAGGGAATATACAAGGAAGTGCTGGATTCTCTTTTCAGACGAGTTTTTTTTATCCTGATGGTTTGTTGAGGATTTCTGGTTTAACCATGGAACAAAGAGGACACAAGGCACGACAGGCGCAAGGACATTTTCTCTACTGCTTGGTCGCTGTGCTTTTGTGGAGCGTGACCGCAGCGGAAATACGATATTCAGTCCCCGAAGAAGTTAACGAAGGAACTGTGGTTGGAATATAGCAAAAGACCTGGGATTGGATAAGAGCTCATTGAAAGACAGGAAGTATCGGATTGTTTCTAGTAATACGGATCCTCTTTTCCACGTGAATCAAAACGATGGTATTTTGTATGTGAGCCGAAAGATTGACAGAGAAGAGGTGTGCGCACAGAGCAGTACCTGTTTGATGAATTTGAAAACTGTACTAGAATACCCGCTTGAGGTGCACTACGTAAGAGTGGAGGTTCAAGATGTAAACGACCACTCTCCCACTTTTCCAGAGGAAGAGACAACGTTAGAGATTTCGGAGTCCGTGTTGCCCGGAGCAAGATTTCAGCTAAAACCCGCACGTGATCTAGACAGTGGTCTATTCTCTGTACAGCAATATAAACTGAGCAACAATGATCACTTTCGATTGGAAGTTAAGAATAAAGGCAACGACATTAAAATACCATCACTGATTGTTCAGAAATCTTTAGACAGAGAAACGGCGCGAAGCCATTTATTAATTTTGACGGCAACTGATGGGGGTAAACCTCCGAAATCTGGTAATATGAATCTTCTTGTAAATGTGTTGGATGTCAACGATAACGTGCCAGAATTCTCGCAAGACGTTTATTCTGTAAACCTCCTTGAAAATGCTCCAGTAGGTACAGCAGTCGTACAAGTTAATGCAACTGATTTAGACGAGGGTCCAAATGGAGAAGTAGTTTATTCTTTCAGTCACAGTATAAATCAAATATTCTAAATTATTTAATATCGATGCATTAACAGGTGAGATAACTGTTAAAGGTTTGATAGATTATGAAGATAATGACATATATGAAATTGAAATTAAGGCTTCAGATAAAGGCCTGGCTCCACTAACTACGGAGAAAAGCGTCATTATTAAGATAGTTGACGTGAATGATAATGCACCTGAGATTGAAGTGACGTCATTTTCAAGCTCCATCCCTGAAGATTCCAGACCAGGAACTACAGTTGCTCTTATCAGTGTCAATGACCTGGACTCTGGTCTAAATGGAAAAGTGATTTGTTCCATAAGTGATGATGTTCCGTTCACTTTATCACCATCTATAGAAGATAAAATGTATTCATTAGTGACCAAATCGCCTCTGGACAGAGAGAAACAGTCACATTATGACCTGACAATAACTGCAAAAGACGCTGGTCAACCTCCATTATCGTCTGAAAAGACAATAAGCGTCGTGGTGTCAGATGTGAATGACAACAGTCCTGAGTTTTCACTCAGTCCTTATACTTTCTATGTGGCTGAAGCTAATGAGCCAGGCACCTCTGTGTTTTCTGTTAAAGCGTTTGATCGCGATGAGGACGACAATGCACTGATTACATATCATATTCTCCGAGATGGAAGTGAAGGAAATAAATTGTCATCATTTTTAAACATTAATAGTGAAAACGGAGATATTTTGGCTCTGAAAAGTTTCGACTTTGAAACAGTGAAAACGTTCCAGTTCCAAGTTGTGGCCACAGATTCTGGAACTCCGTCACTAAGCAGCAACGTCACAGTGAACGTGTTCATTCTGGATCAGAACGACAACGCTCCAGTCATCCTGTATCCAGTCAGCTCCAACGGTTCTGCTGAAGGTGTGGAGGAGATTCCCCGCAATGTGAACGCAGCACACTTGGTGACTAAAGTCAGAGCCTATGACGCTGATATAGGATATAACGGCTGGTTACTGTTTTCACTGCAGGAAGTGACTGAGCACAGTCTCTTTGCTTTGGACCGCTATACAGGACAGATCAGAACACTTCGCTCATTCACAGAGACAGACGAGGCTGAGCAGAAACTGGTCATACTGGTCAAAGACAATGGCAACGTTTCCCTCTCTGCAACAGCTACTGTCATTGTCAAAGTTGTGGAGCCCAAAGAGGCTTTTGCTGCTTCTGATGTTAAAAGTGCAACAAACGATGATGAGGAGAGTAATGTGACTTTTTATCTCATGATAACTTTGGCCTCAGTTTCAGCACTTTTTCTCATCAGCATCATCGTGCTCATTGCAATGCAGTGCTCCAAATCCACAGACTACACTTCAAAATACCTACAAGAGACTAATTATGACGGGACACTGTGTCACAGCATCCAGTACAGATCTGGAGACAAACGCTACATGTTAGTGGGACCCAGAATGAGTATAGGATCTACTATAGTGCCGGGCAGCCATGCCAACACACTAGTGCTCCCTGACAGGAGGAGGACATCTACAGAGGTAGGCATATTCAAACAAATGTTATTAACTTTGATGTTTTCATGTATGCTTAAGGTAAGCATTCATATATAGCAACCTTTATGAAACAGTTAGTTCCGACCAAGCAATGTGATTTGACAAGAGCTATTCCATAAGTGAAGATTAAGGACAACCACATCACTGGGACTTTTCACTTTTATTTTACATTGACAGCTGTCATTGTTTTTTTTTGTTAATAAATCTCATACCTCAGAATCACAAAACAGTTTCAACAACTTCACTAATTACATGATAAAATTAATGCAAAATACAAATAAAGGTTGACATGGGGAAAAAAGTGTTTTTAGACAGCAGGAACTTTTCATAGTTGTAGGAACAGTTGGAACCCTCCCCCTTTTTAATTAGTTAGTTCCATAATGCACTTGAACTATTTTAGTTCCTAAAACACCGTTTAGAGGAACCTTTTTACCACCTCTTACAGAGTAGGTACCATGGCGGTGTGAATACAGACAGAGAAAAAGTCCCCATTGTGTGTTGTTCTCATGGAACTCCTTAGTGGACAGTTCCTCTTCAAAAAGTCCCCATAATTGTTTGGTCTGAAAACACATAAAGAAGCTTCTCTGTGGTAACCATGGACCCGAACCGAGTATCAAGTGTGCAGTAGAATGTTTGGATTTGTTGGTAACAGTCTAGTTTCAGTCATATTGTGGACCTAGTTGTGTTAGTGGAGGTAACAGTGATTTTCTACAGCAATTGACCACTACGACCACATCAAAGCAGTGCTGATATTCAATACATCAGTTTCTCTCATGTGATGAAGCTTAAATATCTGCAAGTTTTTTTTAGATAAGTTGTTTTGTTTAAGACAAGTATCTTGGACTTTTATGAAACTTAAAGTGAGTAATAATTTGTCAGTCACTTTGTTGTCACCTATATTATCGCGTGGTAATATAATGGTTGTGTGATTCTTAAACTTTTAAAAATAAATTAACAAGATAACAGCTTATTATGAATAATGGATATAACATGGCAATGCCATTTTGAAATGTATGCAACCGTATAACAAGGGGAAAAATACATTTAAATAATAATCACGGAAAACATTTTAAATTAACAATACAGCAAAAATGTTTCTTAAAAGTACAATAATATTTGGATAAATTAATGGTGTGTTGCTGGACAAAACTACACAAGTGAATTGTTTGGGTTAAACATTTTGTGATGTTGACAGTATTGGGGTAATAACCTGGTTAAAAAGAAGACAAGATGTATTTCCTTAGTTTTAGTTTTCTCTATTATGATATTTTCATTTTTTATGAAAGATTTACAAGTGTTTCGTGTTCCTTTTCTTATATGTATGATACCTAAAGAAATGATAAAACAGCGTGTCGTGGAGTTCAGTTGTTGTTTGCTTGAAGGATTAGGTCAGAGGAGTATTTTTTCCCAAATAATAGCAGCAGACTAACGCTAGATATACAGACAACCCAAGAAGTCAAGTCAAGCCTATCGACTCGTATAAAGTGTCATCTAAGAAATATACCATGGTCCATTGCTGTTAAATAACATCAGATATACTATTGAAATATTTTCACCAGCAGAAGCTACACACAACTGCAGCCTGCAGTCGCTGTCCATGGTGCTGAAATGTTTGATATTTTCCCCCCCAAAGTTGTTGGATAAATATAGCATTCCACCCCCCCTCCCCCCATCGACATTGATCTCAGTGATGACATTCGTACAACTTAATTTTATGAAAAACAAATGGTCGTTACTGCTCTGAAGAATCCTGGAAACACATTAAAATGCAAAGTTTCTTACTTTCTGTAAAGGAAATTTGACTTAACTTTGTAATGAGGAGGTCTCCAAACCCGTTTCTCTTTCTTTACCATAGTTTAAGTTTGTTCTGTGATACGCCGTTGTTACGACTTATTTTACCATTCATACACTGTGACACAAACTCATCGCCATAATTCTGCAGTAAGACTTTAGCTCGCATGGTGTCAGTGTAATGTAAAGAGTCAGCAGTGCTCAAGCTTGTTGTGTCGTCATTGGATAAAGGTTCCACCTCCTGACAACATCCTGGCTTACACGTTAGCACTGAATTTTCTGCGCTTAGTCTTGTCTTTGTTAACATCCTGACTGCCAGATTTACTAAATGGTTTAAGGCAGGGAATATACAAGGAAGTGCTGGATTCTCTTTTCAGGACGAGTTTTTTTTATCCTGATGGTTTGTTGAGGATTTCTGGTTTAACCATGGAACAAAGAGGACACAAGGCACGACGGACGCAAGCACATTTTCTCTACTGCTTGGTTGCTGTCTTTTTGTGGAGCGTGGCCGCAGCGGAAATACGATATTCAGTCTCTGAAGAAGTTAACGAAGGAACTGTGGTTGGAAATATAGCAAAAGACCTGGGATTGGATAAGAGCTCATTGAAAGACAGGAAGTATCGGATTGTTTCTATTAATACAGATCCTCTTTTCCACGTGAATCAAAACGATGGTATTTTGTATGTGAGCCGAAAGATTGACAGAGAAGAGGTGTGCGCACAGAGCAGTACGTGTTTGATTAATCTTAAAACAGTGTTAGAAAACCCACTGGAGGTTCATTATGTTGAGTTGGAGGTGCTGGATATAAATGACAATTCTCCCACTTTTCCAGAGGAAGAGAAAAGGTTGGAGATTTCAGAGTCCGTGTTGCCCGGAGCAAAATTTCAGCTAAAACCCGCACGTGATCCAGACAGTGGTCATTTTTCTGTACAGCAATACAAACTGAGCAACAATGATCACTTTCGATTGGAAGTTAGAGATAAAGGAGAAGATGGTAAAATACCTATTTTGGTATTGCAAAAATCTTTGGACAGGGAAGTAGCTGGAAGTCACTCGTTGGTGCTGACGGCACTGGATGGGGGGAAACCTCCGAAATCAGGCGAGATGACTATCCTGGTAAAAATTTTGGATGTTAATGATAACACACCAATTTTTTCAAGGGATGTTTACTCTGTTACGCTCTCAGAAAATGCTCAAATAGGAACGACCATCATACGAGTGAATGCAACTGATTTAGATGAAGGTCAGAATGGGGAAGTGTTTTATACATTTGGCAACAGTGTGAGTAATAACTTATTCAAGCTTTTTGAAATCAATTCATCAACAGGCGAAATAACTGTCAAAGGGTTAATAGACTTTGAGCAAAAGGACAAATACGAAATAGAAATCCAAGCATCAGATAAAGGTATCGCCCCTCTAACTACGGAGAAAAGTGTCATAATTAAGATAGTTGACGTGAATGATAATGCACCTGAGATTGAAGTGACGTCATATTCAAGCTCAATCCCTGAAGATTCCAGACCAGGAACTACAGTTGCTCTTATCAGTGTTAATGACCTGGACTCTGGTCTTAATGGAAAAGTGATTTGTTCCATAAGTGGTGATGTTCCGTTCACTTTATCACCATCACTGAAAGATAAAATGTATTCATTAGTGACCAAATCGCCTCTGGACAGAGAGAAACAGTCACATTTTGACCTGACAATAACTGCAAAAGACGCTGGTCAACCTCCATTATCGTCTGAAAAGACAATAAGCGTCGTGGTGTCAGATGTGAATGACAACAGTCCTGAGTTTTCACTCAGTCCTTATACTTTCTATGTGGCTGAAGCTAATGAACCAGGTACCTCTGTGTTTTCTGTTAAAGCTTTTGATCGGGATGAGGACGACAATGCACTGATTACATATCATATTCTCAGAGATGGAAGTGAAGGAAATAAATTGTCTTCATTTTTAAACATCAATAGTGAAAATGGAGTCATCACTGCACTGAAAAGTTTCGACTTTGAAACAGTGAAAACGTTCCAGTTCCAAGTTGTGGCCACAGATTCTGGAACTCCGTCACTAAGCAGCAACGTCACAGTGAACGTGTTCATTCTGGATCAGAACGACAACGCTCCAGTCATCCTGTATCCAGTCAGCTCCAACGGTTCTGCTGAAGGTGTGGAGGAGATTCCCCGCAATGTGAACGCAGCACACTTGGTGACTAAAGTCAGAGCCTATGACGCTGATATAGGATATAACGGCTGGTTACTGTTTTCACTGCAGGAAGTGACTGAGCACAGTCTCTTTGCTTTGGACCGCTATACAGGACAGATCAGAACACTTCGCTCATTCACAGAGACAGACGAGGCTGAGCAGAAACTGGTCATACTGGTCAAAGACAATGGCAACGTTTCCCTCTCTGCAACAGCTACTGTCATTGTCAAAGTTGTGGAGCCCAAAGAGGCTTTTGCTGCTTCTGATGTTAAAAGTGCAACAAACGATGATGAGGAGAGTAATGTCACTTTTTATCTCATGATAACTTTGGCCTCAGTTTCAGCACTTTTTCTCATCAGCATCATCGTGCTCATTGCAATGCAGTGCTCCAAATCCACAGACTACACTTCCAAATATCTACAAGAGACTAATTATGACGGGACACTGTGTCACAGCATCCAGTACAGATCTGGAGAGAAACGCTACATGTTAGTGGGACCCAGAATGAGTATAGGATCTACTATAGTCCCGGGCAGCCATGCCAACACACTAGTGCTCCCTGACAGGAGGAGGACTTCTACTGAGGTAGGACATATCAAAACTATTTTCCAACCTCTACAATATCTTTAGTCTCGTTCCTACCTCATGTGATGCGTATGTCTAAGTGGTTGGAGTGTTATGTGTTATACAAAATGCATATAGTAAATACAACTAATTATCTGAGATTGTCCACATGAAGTATAGTTGTAGTAAAGGTGAAGGAAGTTTTGTGAAAACTGTGCTTTGTTTGGTGTCCATTTGATTTGTTTGTATGCTTTCTAATCTGATACTGTGGTTTTTGTGTTTATAACGTATAGCAACGAGCCAGCTGGTTTTCCTGCTCTTGAATATAGCGGTTTCAATTCGTTTGTCATTAGGAAGACAGATTAATTGTTTTATGGATTAACTTGGATTTCTATAACACCAAACGCAAAGAAAGATTTTGAATCAATTTAATGGCACTTTGCATGGGACTATATTATTGGTAATGGTGCTGTTGTTTGATAATAAAATGTTTAAAATAAACCGAATTTAAGACATTGTAACAAGTTAGTATCAGTAATGGCTTTAACTTGGCAATATAAGCCTGAAATGTAAACCAAAGTATAACAAGACAAAATTACTAATGGTAATAATAATAATAATAATAATAATGATGGGAAAACGTTGAAAGTATAGCATCAGGGTAAAATATTTGAATAATATTATTGTAATGTTTTTTCTAATAAATGTATTGTGAACAACACAACTTAAAAGGATTACATATAATCAGTGACCTATAGATATTTTAAATGGTACCATGATGCCAATAGGGATAATAGCTTAATAAAAAAGAGGTAAGATAGTTAATTTATATTTCTACTGAGTTATTGTTCTTTATGTGGCAATATTATTTTCCATGTGTCCTACTATTTACTCCCCTTTCCTAAATTCATGCTTTCTGTATATGATACTGAGAGACAAAAAGTAACTGATGATATAAACTCGAATTTGTGTTTGGTAATTGTTGATAGTGCGTTCAGGTGAGAGGAGTCAATTTTCAAACCAAGGGGAGCTGAATGACTTCAGATGTACAGACAACACAAGAAAGTCTGTCGTACATCACCACTACGTACAAATAATAATTATATCACGGTTTATGGTACTTTGTTTTCCAATAGATTAGATTTAGTATTATTTTTGGTCCATCAATTGTAGCAACACACAGCTGCGATTGGTAGTCGCTGTCCATGGTGCTGGAAATGTAGGTCTATCTCTGCCTAAATAACGTAACAAACATTTCGTCCCATGCAAACGTTAACTCAACAATCAAAGTCATGCAATTTAAACAAATATTGGAAAAGTCTCTGAATAATCCTCAAAACGTTGAATGTACAGTATACTGATTTATTTATCTTAATTTGAGGCCACTTTCGGATAATTATTTTCTGAGGAGTTCACCTCCTCATGTCTTTCCTTTAACTCGACAACGATTGGTCTGTAATTTGAAGTACTTAGTAATCATTTCACAATTCATGAACTGTTCCTAAAAAATCTCAACACTCTTTGTAGTGAGGCTTCAGCTCGCATGGTGTCAGTGTAATGTAAAAAGTCAGCAGTGCTCGAGCTTGTTGTGTCGTCATTGGATAAAGGTTCCACCTCCTGACAACATCCTGGCTTACATGTTAGTACAGCATTTCTGCGCTTAGTGTTTCCTTTGTTAGCATTATAATTGCCATATGTACAAAATGCTTTAAGGCAGTGAATATACAAGGAAGTGCTGGATGCTGTTTTTTGCAGAACGAGGGATTTTGATTCTGATGGTTTGCTGAGGATTTCTGTTTTAACCATGGAACAAAGACGACACAAGGCGCGATGGGCGAGAGGTTATTTTATCTGCTGCTTGGTTGCTGTCTTTTTGTGGAGCGTGGCTTCGGCGGAAATACGATATTCAGTCTCTGAAGAAGTTAACGAAGGAACTGTGGTTGGAAATATAGCAAAAGACCTGGGATTGGATAAGAGCTCATTGAAAGACAGGAAGTATCGGATTGTTTCTAGTAATACAGATCCTCTTTTCCACGTGAATCAAAACGATGGCATTTTGTATGTGAGCCGAAAGATTGACAGAGAAGAGGTGTGCGCACAGAGCAGTACGTGTTTGATTAATCTTAAAACAGTGTTAGAAAACCCACTGGAGGTCCATTATGTTGAAGTGGAAATCATAGATATAAATGACCATTCTCCCACTTTTCCAGAGGAAGAGAAAACATTGGAGATTTCGGAGTCCGTGTTGCCCGGAGCAAGATTTCAGCTAAAACCCGCACGTGATCTAGACAGTGGTCAATTCTCTGTGCAGCAATATAAACTGAGCAACAATGATCACTTTCGATTGGATGTGAAGAAAAAAGGGAACGATGGTAAAATACCGATACTGGTTGTTCAGAAATCTTTAGACAGAGAAATGGCTCGAAGCCACTTATTAACTTTGACGGCAATTGATGGGGGTAAACCTCCGAAATCTGGTAATATGAATCTTCTTGTAAATGTGTTGGATGTCAACGATAACGCTCCCGATTTTTCACAAGACATTTATTCTATAAACCTCCTTGAAAATGCTCCAGTAGGTACAATAATCGTAAAAGTGAATGCAACTGATTTAGATGAAGGACAAAATGGGGATGTGGTTTATTCATTCAGTAACAGTATAAACCAAAATATTCTAAATTTATTTAATATCGATGCATTAACAGGTGAGATAACTGTTAAAGGTTTAATCGATTATGAAAATAATGACATATATGAAATAGAAATTGAGGCTTCAGATAAAGGCCTGGCTCCACTAACTACGGAAAAAAGCGTCATTATTAAAATAGTTGACGTGAATGATAATGCACCTGAGATTGAAGTGACGTCATTTTCAAGCTCAATCCCTGAAGATTCCAGACCAGGAACTACAGTTGCTCTTATCAGTGTTAATGACCTGGACTCTGGTCTTAATGGAAAAGTTATTTGTTCCATAAGTGATGATGTTCCGTTCACTTTATCACCATCCTTACGAGACAAAATGTATTCATTAGTGACCAAATCGCCTCTGGACAGAGAGAAACAGTCACATTATGACCTGACAATAACTGCAAAAGACGCTGGTCAACCTCCATTATCGTCTGAAAAGACAATAAGCGTCGTGGTGTCAGATGTGAATGACAACAGTCCTGAGTTTTCACTCAGTCCTTATACTTTCTATGTGGCTGAAGCTAATGAGCCAGGTACCTCTGTGTTTTCTGTTAAAGCTTTTGATCGGGATGAGGACGACAATGCACTTATTACATATCATATTCTCAGAGATGGAAGTGAAGGAAATAAATTGTCTTCATTTTTAAACATTAATAGTGAAAACGGAGATATTTTGGCACTAAAAAGTTTCGACTTTGAAACAGTGAAAACGTTCCAGTTCCAAGTTGTGGCCACAGATTCTGGAACTCCGTCACTAAGCAGCAACGTCACAGTGAACGTGTTCATTCTGGATCAGAACGACAACGCTCCAGTCATCCTGTATCCAGTCAGCTCCAACGGTTCTGCTGAAGGTGTGGAGGAGATTCCCCGCAATGTGAACGCAGCACACTTGGTGACTAAAGTCAGAGCCTATGACGCTGATATAGGATATAACGGCTGGTTACTGTTTTCACTGCAGGAAGTGACTGAGCACAGTCTCTTTGCTTTGGACCGCTATACAGGACAGATCAGAACACTTCGCTCATTCACAGAGACAGACGAGGCGGAGCAGAAACTGGTCATACTGGTCAAAGACAATGGCAACGTTTCCCTCTCTGCAACAGCTACTGTCATTGTCAAAGTTGTGGAGCCCAAAGAGGCTTTTGCTGCTTCTGATGTTAAAAGTGCAACAAACGATGATGAGGAGAGTAATGTCACTTTTTATCTCATGATAACTTTGGCCTCAGTTTCAGCACTTTTTCTCATCAGCATCATCGTGCTCATTGCAATGCAGTGCTCCAAATCCACAGACTACACTTCCAAATACCTACAAGAGACTAATTATGACGGGACACTGTGTCACAGCATCCAGTACAGATCTGGAGACAAACGCTACATGTTAGTGGGACCCAGAATGAGTATAGGATCTACTATAGTCCCGGGCAGCCATGCTAACACACTAGTGCTCCCTGACAGGAGGAGGACTTCTACTGAGGTAGGACATATCAAAACTATTTTCCAACCTCTACAATGTCTTTAGTCTCGTTCCTACCTCATGTGATGCGTATCTCTAAGTGGTTGGAGTGTTATGTGTTATACAAAATGCATGTTGTAAATAAAACTAATTATCTGAGATTGTCCACATGAAGTATAGTTGTAGTAAAGGTGAAGGAAGTTTTGTGAAAACTGTGCCTTGTTTGGTGTCCATTTGATTTGTTTGTATGCTTTCTTATCTGATACTGTGGTTTTTGTGTTTATAACGTATAGCAACGAGCCAGCTGGTTCTCCTGCTCTTGAATGTAGCGGTTTCAATTTGTTTGTCATTAGGAAGACAGATTAATTGTTTTATGGATTAACTTGGATTTCTATAACACCAAACGCAAAGAAAGATTTTGAATCAATTTCATGACACTTTGCATGGGACTATATTATTGGTAATGGTGCTGTTGTTTGATAATAAAATGTTTAAAATAAACCGAATTTAAGACATTGTAACAAGTTAGTATCAGTAATGGCTTTAACTTGGCAATATAAGCCTGAAATGTAAACCAAAGTATAACAAGACAAAATGACTAATGGTAATAATAATAATAATAATAATAATAATAATAATAATAATAATAATAATAATGATGGGAAAACGTTGAAAGCATAGCATCAGGGTAAAATATTTGAATAATATTATTGTAATGTTTTTTTTAATAAATGTATTGTGAACAACACAACTTAAAAGGATTACATATAATCAGTGAACTATCAATATTTTAAATGGTACCATGATGCATATATAGGGATAATAGCCTGATAAAAAAGAGGTAAGATAGTTAATTTATATTTCTACTGAGTTATTGTTCTTTATGTGGCAATATTATTTTCCATGTGTCCTACTATTTACTCCCCTTTCCTAAATTCATGCTTTCTGTATATGATACTGAGAGACAAAAAGTAACTGATGATATAAACTCGAATTTGTGTTTGGTAATTGTTGATAGTGCGTTTAGGTGAGAGGAGTCAATTTTCAAACCAAGGGGAGCTGAATGACTTCAGATGTACAGACAACACAAGAAAGTCTGTCGTACATCACCACTACGTACAAATAATAATTATATCACGGTTTATGGTACTTTGTTTTCCAATAAATTAGATTTAGTATTAT